TTTTTTAAAAATTATAAACTATTATTTTTAATAAATATTAATTATAAAATATTTATAAAAATATTAATATAAAAATTAATTTAAACATAAAAAAAAATAATAAATAAATAATAATTAACCTTTTTTTTTAAAAAGTTTATAAATAATAACGTTAAAATAATATAATAATTAATTTAAAATTATAATAAAAAAAAACGGTATAACCTTTTTTTTTTAAATTAAAAAAAAATATATAATAAAATATTATATAAATTTTTATAAAAATTAATAAATTTTTTTAATATATTAATACTTTTTATAAAATAAATTTAAATCTTATATAATAACGTTAAAATTAAATCTTTTATAAATAATTATTTTAAAAATTTTATAAAAATATTAAATAAAATAAAGTAAAGTAATTTTATAAATTATTTATTATTTATTATAATAATAAAAACGTTAATTAAAAAAATTATAACTTATTTAAATATTATTAAAGTTAATTTAAAAATAATAATCTTAAAAATATTAATATATATAAATAATATAATAATTATTTTATAAAATTAAAAAGAAATTATTTTAATAAAAAAGATATTTAATTTATTTAATTAAATAAATAGTTTAAAGATTAATTAAAATAAGTTATATTTATTAAAAATAAAAAAATGCCTTAAAATTTAATTAAATAAAATAAAAATTTTAATAATAAAAAATCTTTATAAATATTTAAAAATATTAATTAATATTAAAAAAAACTATTTAAAGATATTAAGGAATTATTAAATAAAAATTATAATAAAATATTAAAAAATTAAAGATTTATAATTAAAATATTTTTTTTTATAAAAGTTAAATTTAAATAATTAATTTTTTAATTATATTACGTATAAAATATTAAATAAAAATATTAATAAATAATTTAAAATAATAAATAATATAAAAAGAAAATCTTTAAAATTTAAGTTTATAAATTATATTAAAAAAGTGGTATAAATATATAAAACTTAAAATAAATAATTAAAATTTTAATATATATTACCGTTTAAAAAACAATTATTTTTTTTAAATTTATTTTAAATATAATTAATAAAATATTTATTTATAAATAAAACTTAAATTAAAATATTAATATTTTATTTTATAATAAAGTATTTATAAATATAATGGTTATATAATAACTTTTTATAATTATAAAAATTTAAATAATTTTATTTAAAATAAAAATCTATAATAAAAAAAAGTAAAAACGAATTTATTTACATAAAAAAGTTTAAATTTTTTAAAAAGGTTTTAAATATATTTTTTTAATATTACCATTAAATAAGTAAAACCTTTAAAATAAAAGTAAAAAAATAAAAATTTAAAATTTAAATTTAATTATAAAAAATAAATTATAAAATAATAAAAAATATTTAAAATATTAAAGAAAATTACCTTATAAACCTTTTAAAATAATTTTTATAAAATATTTTAAAAATTAAAAAAATTATACGATTTCTTTAAAATATTATTTTAAAAAAATAAAAATGTTTATTTTTAAAGATTAAATAATAAATAAAGATAAAAAAACCCTTTTATTAAATATTAATAAAAAATATAAATAATTCTTTAAATAATTACGATTTTATATAAACTTATAAAAGATTTTTAAAATATTATATAAATAAAGAATAATTATAAAACGATAATGTTAAAAATGTTATTAAAATATATTAATAATGTTTTAAAAAAACGTTAATAAAATCTTAAATTTAAAAAGCGGTTAAAATAAAATTTTATATATTTAAAATTAATAATTTATTATAAAAACTTTTATATAAAATTATTTTAATAAATATAAAATTATTTTAAAAATTATAAAAAATATAATATTATTTTATAAATAAATTAAATTATATTATTAATTATATATAAATAAAATATATTATAATAAAAGAAATTTAACGTAAATTTTTAAAAATATAAAAAATTTTTAAAAAAAAAAAGTTATTTATACCGTATAATTTTAAAAAACTAATAGTTTTAATAATTATAACTTTTAAAAAAACAAATAATAATATTTTAAAAAAATAATTAATTTATTATTAAATAATAATATAATCTTTATAATTAATATATTTAAACCATTTTTTTTAAAAATTTTATAATTTTTAAATATTTTAAAAAACTATTAATTATTTTAAAAAAATATTTTAAAATAAAATAATATTAAACCATATTATTTTTTTAAATAAAAAATATTAAAATAAAAAAAAAAATAAAAAAGTTTTTTATTTAATATAAAAGATATTATTAAAAAATATTAAAATTATAAAAGGTTTATTTTTTTTTAAAAAAATAATTAATTAAAAATTATTATAAAAAATTAAATTAAATTTTAAAATTAAAAGAAATTAATTAAGTAAAAAAAAAATAACTTTTAATTAAATTTATTTATTTTTTATTTTTATTTAAATTAATTAAATTATTTAATTTTATTATATTTATTTTATTTATATAAATATTTAAATAATAAAATTTTATTAAATTATTATAATTAATAATTTATTAAAAACATAATAAATACGTTTAAGTTTAATTCCTTTTTTTATTTAAAGTGCGTAAGTATTTTAAATAAAAAAGTTATTTATTAATTTACCTTTTTTAAAAAATCGTTAATAAAAAAATGAAAAAAAGAGTAAATAAAGAAAAATGTATAAAATACAAAATATAAAAAAAATATAAAAAAAAAAGGAAAAAATAGTATTAAAAAAGGTTAAATGTAAATAATAATTAATAAAATAAGATAAGGTATATAAATAAAAGACTTTATGCTCGATATTTTTCTTATATTTAGTTTACCACATGAAGATGTCTCATTAAGAAAATGGCAGCTTTTAAAAGGTAAAAAGGCATTAGTGAGCACTTTTATCTCACATAGGGATGAAAGTATTTAGAATACAAAACATGGTTTGCATCTTGTGGACAGTTTCTGGGCTGACCGATTCATTGTCGATCCGTCTGACCCCTTAAGTGGACCAGTGAGATATGAGATAAAAATAAACATCGAGGGACATGATAAACCGTACTTTTCTACCCAAGGTCTGGATGGGTCCTGGATTCCTTTTGAAGGTGGGTTCCTCTAGTTGCACGCTCTTCAGGGTAGATATCTAACACAAGTTTTCTTAAGGGGTCCCTCTGTGTGCCCTGGTCGGTTCCTAGCGAAAACGGTGATCATGTCCACCTGTGCTTTTCTCATCAGTCAATTTGATATCGAAGTATTGGCAGACTCTATTCAGCGTGATCCTATGAGGTTTGGGCTAGGTGTTACGAAGCCAAAAGGCCAGATTCCAGCACGGGTGAGGAGAAGATAATGTGATCACTTAGAACACCGTTCAAGTTTATCCATTTAGGTACCTAACTCAGGTTATTAGGTACATCGGTATTCTAAGTGTGTCGGGTCAAGCAAGCAATCTGTACCTAATTATTTAGTCTGAAGCAATTCCGATCAATTCTTTAGGTAAAACTTCAAGCACAGTCAACTCTTATATACTAGCTGCGTTGCCCGCCCGCGCAAGCGCGTACGGGGGAAAGGGGGAGAAAAGAGGGGGGGGGGGATCATGCGCAAAACTGACGCCACAGCTAAAGTCTGGCCTCTAATTCGCTAGCCACACCTCAACGCACGTCCGATGAATTTTTTGTAGAATCAATTAAATTATTTCAGTATTGTCTTTCCGAAGGAATATTGCGCTCAAACTTTTTTTTAAATTACGTAAGAAACTGATAAGAAAACTGATAAGGAAATACATTGCGAAATACATTGCGAAATACCTCAGTAATTACGTAAGTAATTGATAAGATAAGGCCGCGCACATGACTTCGGAAAGATCCCACGTGCGAGCCTGCGAGCACGTAAAAACGCCCGCGCGAGCTTGCGAGTGCATGCGTTTTCGTAAATTTTAAAATATAGGAGAGTAGGTAGATTTCATTAGTACTGCCACAATTTTTTCAACAAACCTGATGCTTAGAATCGCCCTGCAGTTTGCGATCGAGTTAACACATTACATAGCCCTTACTTTATTAATTATCCAGGCACGATAAACAATTTATTGTTGCTATCAGTCTTGAGCACTTAAGTTTAGTTGCAATAATATGTATTGAAGAAGATACTGTTAACAATTCCATCCTCTATGGTTTACGGTGAGTTTAAAGCTCTTTGCAGAATAATGCGGTTATTTCCTTGTTTTGTAGGTTTACTCTCTGACAACATGGTGTGTTCAATACTTGGTAAAAAGGGGCGGCAATTCTTCAAAAGGCCTCTTCAATTCATGAGTACCTAAAGCGCATTTTCAAGTACATATGTTATAAGAATGGAGGTGTTGGGGCTAACAAACACAAACATGGGCTCTGAAATGGCAAAGGCAGGAATAATAATAATAAGCGAAGATAACCCTTGCTTCATAGCGCTTTCATTATATCCATCCTAAAAATATCGATGCTCTTAACCTGATTCTATGTACTAATCGTAGGCTAGGTGTCTCCTTGCAAACTATTTCCTTTCTAGCAAGGCCTATCAGCGTTACAACAAGATTAGCTAAGTCTCTTCCTACAAGAGTCCTCTCTATCTATCTTGGCTAGCTCTTATGCATCCTGGTCGGAGGCAAGGGGGGTGCTTAAAATATCATATATGGACCTATCGGGGACCTGGGCTTTAGATACAACTACTATCACAATAAACGACGCCGTGATTGCTACTCAGCAATTACGCCTTATGTGTGACAACTACTGTAACAAAAAGCTCTTAGATATCTTGGAGGAATTCCTTCGGCTTCTTGGTCTGGTCTTCCTATCATTATCACCTCAGATATTTTCTACAGAGTACCCTCTGAGTTACAAAACGGCCAAGTAGTACATACATCTTAGTTTTGCAGGCTTATTGATGGTCTCTATCAACTGTTCCAATACTATCGAGATTTCTAGATAATATATCATAATAATCCTCTCCTTCACATCTTCAATACTCGCTGTAGCTTGAAATGCCTCTCCTCCTCCAAGAAGTAAAAGATGAAAAGGACTTCGACGAGATCCTCCCTGTCCTCTATGCTGCCTTCGGCGAACCCTATAACTCTTTGCGTAAATGGTTCATTCCAGTCCATACCACGGTCAAAGCAGCGGTTGAAGATGCCAAAGCGCGGTACATAAAGTCCTGGAAGCAACACGCTGGCATCCACTGGGTCAAGGTCACGGATGACAATTCCGGTAGTATTGTTGGAGCAGCCAAATGGGAGGTTTGCGAGAGAGTGAGCCCATCAAATAAGCCACAGAAACCAATTGACGCATATTGGCACATTGAGGGCACAGAAGAGAAGGCTTTTGCTGGGCAACTTATTACAAGCTTGAAAGGCTTTATGAAAGACAGGATGGCTAGACCTCATATTGGTGTGTAGCAGTACCCTGCATTTGATTATGTAGACTAACGATATAATTTAGAACTAGAACAACTGGCCGTACATCCTGATTATCGTAAAAGGGGTGTTGGAAGGTTACTTACCAACTGGGGGATTCAGAAAGCAGATGACATGGGATTAGAATGCTGTGCCGAGTCTGTCCGGTTTGCTGTACCCATATACGAAAGGTACGGGTTTGGCAACGTGGACTACCTCGATCCAGACTTGACTACCTCTAATCCAAGTGCGAGATGGAAGGAGTACGAAGCAGATGACTCACGCGTCTTCTTGATGTGGCGGCCGGCAGGTCATGATTACCGGGCTGGAGAAGATAAACTACCACTGCCAACTGCTTAGGAGGTAGTTTGCAGACTGATATAGTACAGAAGTACCTCATTACGGGTGACTGGCCGGACCGATACAGACGTTACTGCAGTGAGTCAGTGAAATAGCATAGACCACCACCTCAGGTAGCAACATCCCCTCAGGTAGCAAGTCAATGGTTGCCTGTTCGAACTGCTTAGCAGCTGGCCGTCACCAGGACAATTTTCTGCCCAAACCAAGTTACCGCCTTCGAGACGCGTATTTATTCTGGCCGTCCTTCGGCTCCCCTTCGAAAACTTTTCTTTCTTTCTTTCTTTCTTTCCAACCACTTTTCCAATTCTTCGACTTTACAACTTCAATATCCACAACAACAACAACGCCTTTACCGCGAAGTTAATCAAAGCACAACTACCCCATTAATACTTTAATTTAATTATTACTTACTACGTCTCTAATAATATTCACCTTCTATAAAGTATACATCCCTTTCGCTACCTTAATGCGAAATCTCGCCTCCTTTCTCAGCTAAACTGCGCATCTCACCTGTATGTATTACCTCTTGCTATTTCTTTTCAAGCTCTACTTTGAAACAACCAGCACTAACGAAATTTCTCAAAGACTAATTAAAGATGTCAGCACAAAAGGAGGTGAAAGCGGTTAATATTGGTGCGGCAAATAAGCGCATGGTAGGACGTGATACGTGCACTACTGTGCCTGGAAGAACATCGGCCGCGGTGGCGGCTATGTCTGCCTTTGAATCGGCGCAACCATCTAACACCTTGGAATTCAAGCCATCCGGGAGAAGTTTCAAAAGAGGCTCCCGTCAAAGAAGTCCCCAGCAACGTTCCCGAACCAATGGGGCTCCAAAGAAGAAGCTTCCAGCCTTTGAGACCCGCGGTACAGACACTAAATGTATTGGGGGAACAGTCCAGCCCTTCGATGCCGCTGCACCCGCTGCTTATTCTTTCACACGAGGTGTGGTGCCTGGTGCTGCCTCTTCTTCCATACAAGGTGTGGTGCCTGGTGCTGTTACCCATACTACTCCAGACGTGGTGCCTGCAAGCCCTGACAACAAGGAGGACCATAAGCCGAATGGCGCGTCCCAAGAGCGTGTCATGGAGAAGTTTGACAAACCTAATCTTAACGTCGACAAGAAAGAGTTCCAGAATGACATGAAGAACCACGGCTTTAAGGGTCTGGCCGCTTCACGCTGGGCTTAAACTACTCTAAACTACCCTAAACTACCCTAAACTACTCTTTTACTAGAGGTGAGTAGTTGGACTTATGCTACTTGAAGGAGAATGATAGTTTAACTAACCCGATATATATAGCAAGTTCATTCCTCCTAATAAATACAACTTGATGTATTGTTCTTTCCAAGGGCCTTGAATGTGTCCCACAGCCTGTGGGACACAATTCATCTCATACATCAATCTGGAGAAAACTCTTAAAGAGTTTCATGAGGGCGAGTGCGCTACTACGACATGGTCTGCGCTTGTCCTCACGGCTCACTTTCTTGACGCAACGAGATGTCGAAGGGGCTGAGGTGCTAAAATAAGAAATAATGTAAAGAAGGGGGGACCTAAAGAACGCAAATAGCTTTCTGGTGTCTGCAATCATCAGCTCTATCTCAATACTGGGAAATAACATCAAGATGTTGAAGTACGAAACAAACCAGGAGGGCGGCGACCGCACCATCGCCATCGACGAAAGAAGCGAGAACTCCTACTCTGACACTCCTGACAACGAGCAACCTACCACCCCAAGGCCGGTTAAGCCACAGACATTTAACCATCTGTGAATAAAACTAATAACCTAACCTAACCTAACCTAAAGGACAGGGCAATAATCAGTCCCTGTCCAGCTTTGTTCTTGACTGCGGGTCGGTAAGTTTAATACCTCCTCAACCAATAACATAACCACTTAGCTAACAAAACAGCAGTCCTCTCTGCGGCTCCAGGTTGGGCGGCCCTGCCTTCGACTCATTACACTCGGCATTATGTTGGGCGCGGGTAGGCAGTAAACTAAACTAATACCCAAACTCAAGTCCTATCAGATGATGCCTTCTCAGCTAGTGACCAGGTGGCTCTAGAAGAAGTCACGATGTCTGCAAAGACTCATCAAGAGCCTCAAGGCCTGTCTCTTCTACCGAGGTTCGATCTGAGCGGAACATCTCGTGCCAACGACTGAGATAAGTGATGGTGGGATGGAAAAGGGCTTTGTGACGTCTGGTGGGATGGACAAGGACTTTGTGACGTCTGGTGGGATGGACAAGGACTTTGTGACGTCTGGTGTCGCTGACATAGGCCTCGGCAAGACCTGCCAGGTCAGGGTAGGGGTATTCGACATCCCCACTGCCTGGTGCTGTTGCCGTAGCCAACGTAGTCTGGCCGTTATTCTCCCGACGTATGGCGTTCCGCTAAAGGGAATGGAGTTACAGGGATGTTCATGAGAGAAGTGGTATTAGGCTTGAGGATGTTATTTATTCTACTTACACACAAAGCCAAGAACATCCAAAACGCAGAGGGGGCTATTATCTTCACTTCATATCAGAATCATGGTCTTAATTAGGTCCTCGATACGCATATCAGAATCATGGTCTTAATTAGTAACTCGATACATTAGGTACATAGGGTATATCAAATACAAGTCTCACATTATTGTTCATATAAAACCAAACTCCTCGGTATAACAACTGTGACCGAGTACCGAATTAAGAATAGACAACCTAGCCACCACACCTCATAACTGATTCATCTTAGTATTAATATCTCTAGTGGTATCATTGGCCGTAGGATAACTCCCTTTCTCTCCGCCTCATTATTTCTCCTATCCCGTAGACTAACATAAAACAATCTATTGCCGCGTGGGACTTAGAGGACGGTTGAACCCGCCAACGCGATTCATATACTGGCGGTACTCCGTCTTTTTCTCCTTGCGCACGGCACCTGCGTTATTGCCCAGGACGTGCGTGCCCTTCGTCGTGCCAAAACCGCCAAAGCCCATCATAGCTTGCATCGCGCTTAAACCGTCGTCTTCCACTACTACATCATCGTCGTCCTCCTCCTTGTCCTCGTCCATAGCATCCCCTCTATCCGGCGTCTCGGTTCTTCGCCTTCTGCTGTCCTCCTGCTCTTCCTGCGCGTCGTGTTTGCTCCCTGCTGCACTCTTACTAGCACTAGCGCTACCGCGGTTGGAAGCTTCCTCTTCGTGTGGTTGGGGCTTGGAACCGACTTTGAACTGTAGTGATGATGTGCTGGCCTCGGGTTTGCTGCTATTGGGGCGTGGTCGCGTTGGAAGCGGAGAGTTGCTGTGCGAGTGTGCGCTGCGGTCTAGCTTGCCGGCTGGACTTCGAGCAGGTGACGCGGAGCGCCGTGGACTTCGGTCCCGACCTGGTCCTGTTTTATACCTGTTAGCTCTGATACTAGATATGCCTAGAGCTAGTTGCTCCTCGGGAACTTCGCCGCGAAACATACCTCTAGTCGCGCCCTCGTCCTTGCCGCGTCGCCTATCTCTCCCTCTCCTATCGTGGTGATCATCCCCTTTAGGCCGCGCTCTGTCATTGTCTCGAGCTCGATCTCTCTCAGGCTCGCGACGGTCACGGTGTCCCCCGCGGCGGTCTTGTCGGGGGGATCGCGACCTGGATCGATAGCGACGGTCTTTATCGCGGTGGCTGTCTTCTCGATCGCGACCGCGATCGCCCCTCTTGTCGCGTGCGTCTGGTTCGTGGCGGCTGCGGCGTTCAGACTCGTCCCACATCTGCTTGCTGTCCGGGCGATTTCGACGCCGGCGAGCTTGATCAGCCATGCTTTCCTTCTTGTCGCGGGATTGATTTGGAGGATGCGAGTTTGGCTATCGTTGTTAACGGACTACGGCTTGAAGAAGGCTCGGTTTTTATTCGGGTTGTCGTGTTTTACCTAAGTTTCTTCAAGAAATAAAGAAGCAGCTGTCGTCATGATTAGAAGAAATAAATGCACCTAGTTTATGCATTCTGATTGGGCCATATTAATAGGTATGGAATACATACTATGTATAGATCTAATTACGTAATCATAGCTACCTACCTACGTGGTACTGTGTACAAAGGTAATCTTCTACCATCAACCCCACAACCCAACTACCTACCGTAGGAATCTACCATCTACAACTTCAATATTATGTACGCTTACATGCCTCCACCAATATCATGACGGCAGGCTTACGCCCCGTTGTTGCAAAAGTTCTACCATAGAGTCTAGGCCCAAATCCAACGCCAGCTTTAATATCTGCGACCGAGCAGCTGCATCGCCAATGTTCAGGTCTAATAGCAGTCTCACCATAGCAGTGTGTTCAAGCCGGATAGCTTCGAAAAGCGGCCACCAGTCGTTATCGATTGACTTGGCGCCACTATCAATTAGCTTGCGCACAATCGTCATACTTCCACTCATAGCCGCAGCTCGCAGCGGCGAGCCGCGCTGCTGCACGGTTTGATAGTTGGGATCAGCACCGCGCTTCAGTAGTAGATCAACGATGTCTTCGTGCCAGTACCGCGCCGCGCAGGACAGTGGGTTACAATTAAGCCTCTCTCCGCCGTTGATATCGACACCTGCATCAAGAAGATATCTTACCATGTCCACATTACCTAGCTCGGCGTAGCGCACCAAGAGGAACCGGTTGTCTACTCCCGGATCTTGAAAGAATCTTTGAATGTACTGGAAAATTTCTGGGGTCTTGGCGCACAGAAGGGCAGATCGGAGGTCACCACCTTGCTGGGAGTATGGATCGACTCGACCAAATGGGTAACCGGCAAAATCTTTGCTATCGGGTGTTACTCGTGAAGGGGGATATATCGCCAGACGGAGTATGTTCATATCTCCGCGGGTTGAGGCTCCCTTAATAGAACCGGGTCCAGTTTTGCTTCTCCAGGAATCGGCTTCAAATGGTATATTCTCAAAATCTGGTAAGTGTTCTTGGAGAAGTTTTAACATATCGACATTGCCTGCCCATGCGGCCAGCTGCATAGGCGAAGGAATTATATGATTGTTCACTGTTGGACAATGGCCATCTGAAAGTAATTGCCTAACTAGGGGGAGGTTATCGAGGTAAGCTGCTGCGCCTAAGAGCTTCTGACCTAGGTCTGGTGTATCGCCATCGTGTGGACGGTCTTCTCGGTAACCTTGGGCGCCTACATATCGCTCCAGCGCGAGCCAACACAAAATATCGACCATCTCGGTATACTCTGCTTGTGTCTGGCGGCAAAGGCTCTCTGCTAAATGCCGTATTTCGACGAAGCAGCGTACGTGAGGGCCATTTTTACTTTGGACTCGATAGACAAAATAAGAATGCCACAAGTCGGCTGCCCCATACTGCGTCCGAATATACCACAGCTCCATGAAGTCGAGGTCATTGTAGCGAGGTATAATGCTAAAGTCATCAAGAAGCCGCGACTCAAATAGAGCAGGCCGGAGGCATTCGTAAAACCGTTCTGAGTTACCATCAGCTGGTTTCTGGTTTCTGGCTTGGCGAGGACGGGAGTTGACCTACTGCAGACAAGCTTTAGTCTAAGGCCTCTTGTGACACCCCGGGAAATGACAGCTTCGAGCAAGATCATGTGCATTAATTCGACTGGAAGGTCAAGTATATGCATTTTGGTTCTTATCCGCGAGTTGTGAAATGGGAGAGAGTCTATTCGTATGGCTAACTATCTTAGTCCGGATTTGTAGGTTGGTATGCGAGATAGCTGTCTCGGACATAGCTAGCGAGAACTGAAGAATACAAGTGACAATCGCTGCGGCATTTCAGATAAAATAAGATGCGGGGAAACGTGGAAATGTCTTCGTATGCTGACGGCTACGATCAAGGTCCCGATATTGATGTCTGAGGCGGAAACTGATGCGAGGCTGACTCTTCTGAGTAATTCTGCTCTAGTTCACATCTCGATACGTCATAAGTGCTAGGTTTGTCACAATATTGATTCCTTTGAGGATAAATAGAAAAAATTTGATCCTTATAAATCGATCCATGGATTCCGCCGCGAGATTTAGTCACCGTGACGTTGACTTCATAAAAAGAAGTTGATATTTTTATATCACCGGTCTGCCGATCGCTTCGGGGGCCTCGCAATTTACCGCCCTTGGACACGTGAAGCATCAACGTACAATATCTCGCTAAGTTGCAATGCCTCGCGATCAACTATGTGGCTTCGGAGGTATTTATTCCCTTAGAAAGTTTGACAAACAGAAACTGGTACTTTGAATCCTCTTGGCATTGCTTTTGCCCGTGGAGGCGTGATATGATATCAGTTTTCTAAATAAAACGCAGTGCTACTCGGATAGACTGCCGTAGGTTGGTGGCTATGGTATAAGCGACCAATTCCTCAAACAGCCACTTGGATGTTTTTGACAGAGTCAGCTCCTGCGGCGTAAGCCAACACCACACTAGTTATGACGATCAATATTAGATAAGCTCACTACTTACTTGCTAGCATCATCAGCTGGAATTTTGCAGGCAGCACTGGATATGATAATCAGATGAGGTAGGCTTACCATTTACATCCTACTACCAGAGCTAGCTAAAGTCTTGAAAGTGCACCGGGAATGAATAATCAAAATATGGCAAGCTCACCATTTACGTAAAAATGCGAAGATCAGCTCGAATACGAAAACAGCACCGAGGATGATGATCAAGATGGGATAGGACTTGTAGAAATGCATATAAAGGCTTGAAGGGTTCACCTTGTTTATGGTCTCTCATCTCCATCACCATCATCACCTTCACACAACAAGCCTTCAAGCTAACAGCTATTCGATCTCATCAACCAAGCTCCTCAGTCTTATAACTATTTTCTAGCTCGCAAGTATACAAAATGCGTACCTCTTTCTTCAAGGCCGCAACCTTTGCCCTTCTCGGGCTTGGTAACGTCTTCCCTGGCGTTCTAGGTGCCCCGACTTCTACCGAGGTCGAAGAAGTAAGCTGGCTTCTATCATTTTTTCTCTTAATCAGTACTAACATCGGGTTTACAGCGCTCCGACACGCTGATGGCTAGGGCCAAGGAAGTACCAGATATCACCAAGCAGGGTTACAAGGTCGACGAGAACCCTGGTCTACCAACGAAGAAAACCTACAAGGTCACTACTGAGCACTACAATGGCCAGCTCGACCTGATCCGAGTCGAGACCCGTAATAACCTAGTTGCCGTCTTGGACGCCAACAACCAGGACGACAAGACTCCCAACCGAGCCAAGCTCCGTGACATCGTCATGTACGTGTACTCGGTGAAGGGAAACCTAAAGCCCGAGGGGATCCAGAAGGTCCGCTTCGAGACCGTCGTGGAGAAGACCACCCACGCCGCCATCAAGGCTGCCTACGAGAAGCTAGGCCAGACCACCGGCGACTTTACTGTCACGAGCAGCGACACCGACAAGAAGAAGGAAGTCTTCGTCAGCCTCTCCGGTACCCCCTTCGGCAAGATTGCTGGCAGCTACCACACCGACTACAACGCAGGTCAGATCAAGGAGATCAAGATCGAAAACAGCCCGACCCTCCCCCATATGGAGGTCCACCTGGGCTAAGGGGGCTATGCATGATGTATTTTTGATATGTACATAATTTGTATGGTATACATGTGCATGGATTGGATATACGGGTTACGCTCAGCACATCGGGGCTGGGGTTCAGACATAGCATGGCATGGCAAGGTTTTCTTTAGGGTTCCCTTCTTTTTTATCAGCTAGTAGCTTGTCACTCGTTACTATGTAGATATTAGAATAAAATGAAGACGTCTTCGGTTCTATAAATCAGGGCGGTGCTTGCATTGGTTCGTGACTATCCACGGGTAAGCTTTACTCGCTACTCGTTCGAGTAACAACTTGCATAAATTAATACACTAGATCCATCGTAGGCCTTCTATTAATTAGGTAATAACTCAAATGACAATGTCGTGGCCAAATAAGTTATGGGTTAGCCTCAGATCAATAAAACTAGTCTCATAACTATGAAAATATGGCAAACAACCTTGTATCTTTGCTGATGGTACGTTCTTATGTACATTGGGTACATAGGTACATATGTATAAAAATCCCCTTTTTCTTGGCGTAGATGTGAATAAGGTTATGGGTGAGGCTGCGCGCCAAGACATGAAAGCTTAGGCGGGATGTCTTGGCATCTATAGCGTTGTACCTGCGTATCTGTTAGGTTAGGTACATAAGTACCGCGGTACCTTACTGCTAACTGTAGCGTAAAGGAGCCGGGGTGGACCCTGACGTCAACCCAATTAAAGCTAACACCAAAATTCCAAAACTGTGTTCACTTTTGAGCTTCCAAAAGGCCCGGCCGCTAATCGGAAAGCTACAGAAAACCGGCATTTTGCCATTGCTTCATCCAACTATTCGTAAAGAAAGAGGCACGACTCACGATTATTCGATGCCGTCATGACGCTCTCAGGTCAATTGACAGCTGTGCTGTCGTTTCTTGCCCTACCGTTATTTATCCCCTTGGCAGCTTGTCAGGTTGAGGGTAAAGGTAGTGTCAATGCCGAAATTGGCCGCTTAAACAACCAGAGCCTCTTATGGGGTCCTTACCGTCCAAACTTGTATTTTGGAGTCCGCCCTAGGATACCTAAGAGCTTGGCTACTGGTCTCTTATGGGCAAAGGTTGATAATTATGTCGAGGTCCAAAATAGTAAGCTCTATAACCTACCATATGCCTAAGTTGAAGCTGTGAACGGCATTATTAACTTAGAAATTAGGCTTTCGTTACACATGTGAGCAACATGAAGGAATGGCTGGTTATGGATGGGATGAGTATGATACCCGAAGAGGCGGTGTGCAGCATATTCATGACGCCGGAAATAAAATTGACATAACTACTGAGTTCGTCAAGATCCCGGGTGGCGCTCATGGTGGAAGCTGGGCAGCCCGCATCAAAGGCGAGCCCCGGGATGATGCACCCTCCGACCTCCAGACTACGGTGCTGTTTTACGTTGCCTCGGAGTCCCTTGGCGAGACTGTTGATATTGGTAGCGTTGGCGACGAGCACGGATTCGAAGGCGATGTAGCTTTTGTTGGCAAGTCCGCGGTTCTAGGAGACTATAAGCTAGTCGTGACTAAGGGCACGGGCGATCATCCTAACAGCGACCACGCCATATCCAGCAAAAGAGATCTTAGCAAGACGGTAGTGCAATCATTAACTGTACCCGAAGAGCACTTGTGGCAGGCTAAGCAGCTCCTATTCCAGCAGCTCAAGGCGGGCGTAGACGAGATTATCCAGGAATATGGGGCTGAGAACGCACCTCCACCCTGGCAAGTTTACCAACTCTCGAACAAGCCTAAACCTGGAAACTTCCATTTTGTCCAAAAGGTATTCGAAGGGGCTTTCGAGTTTGATATTCTATTCTCGAGCGGCTCTGCCGGTAAGGATGTTACGAGCGAGGACCTAACTCGGGAAATCAAATCGACAACTGAGTCTTTCAACGAGCGGTTCGTCGACGTCTTTGCGCCGCAGGCTCCGTTCAACGCCGACAAGTACCGCAGATTTGGACGAAGTATGCTTTCCAATCTCGCCGGGGGCATAGGATACTTCTACGGGCAGCACGTGGTAGATCGGTCGTACGCTCCTGAGTACGACGAGGAAAACGAAGGGTTCTGGGAAGAGACCGCAGAAGCTCGCGCTCGTAGGCAAGAGCAGCTCGAGGGCCCGTATGAGCTGTTCTCCAGTATCCCATCTAGGCCCTTTTTCCCTCGCGGATTCCTATGGGATGAGGGCTTTCACCTACTCCCCATTGCAGATTGGGATATTGACCTTACACTCGAGATTGTGAAGAGCTGGTACACTTTGATGGACGAGGACGGTTGGATTGCCCGGGAACAGATTCTCGGCGATGAAGCCCGAAGCAAGGTGCCTCCTGAGTTTCAAGTTCAATACCCGCACTACGCCAACCCCCCGACGCTATATCTGGTCCTTGAAGCTTTCACCGAAAGGTTGCAAAAGACATGGCACGCAGGCGAGAAAGAACATCTTACACCAGACACCACCGTCTTAGAAAGCGCACACGTTGATAACCCCTCATTGGGTATTGAATACCTTCGCAATCTTTACCCTCTTCTGCGGCGCCAATTCCAGTGGTTCAAGAAGACCCAGTTCGGCGATATCAAATCCTATGACCGACAGGCCTACTCTACGAAAGAAGCTTACCGTTGGCGCGGTCGCTCTATTCAGCATATCCTGACGAGCGGGTTGGACGACTACCCCCGGCCGCAACCTCCTCACCCTGGTGAGCTGCACGTGGACTTGATGTCTTGGATGGGTATGACAGCCAGAGTGTTAGCGAAGATCGCGGACTTTGTCGGCCTCCCCGAAGACGTGCAAGAGTACAACAAGGTGTTCGATGGCATATCTCACAACTTGGTCGACCTGCATTGGTCCGAATCCGCAGGCTGCTTCTGCGACGCCACGATTGACGAGTTCGAGGAGCACACCCTCGTCTGCCATAAGGGTTATATTTCCTTGTTCCCATTCCTCCTTGGCCTTCTCCAGCCAGACGACCCTAAGCTCGGTAAGCTCCTTGATCTCCTAGGTGACGAGGAGGAGCTGTTCAGCCCCCACGGTATCAGGAGCTTAAGCAAGAAATCCGAATTCTACGGCACGGACGAGAATTACTGGCGTAGCCCTGTGTGGATTAATATTAACTACCTCGCCATCGTACAACTCCGGGTAAGTTCTACTGCCACTCAGCCTCATTTCCCTGTCCTCTCCCCTTTTCTATATTTATCGCCCCTACCAGCTACGTACATACCCAAACCCCAGCACATCGCTAACCTCGATACCCAATTCCAGAACTACGCCACCCAAGACGGCCCCTTCGCCGCCAAAGCCAAGACTCTATACGCCAAGCTGCGGAACAACATCGTCGAGACCGTGTACCAGAGCTGGGAGGACACGGGCTTCGCCTGGGAACAGTATAACCCCGAAACCGGCCACGGCCAGCGCACGCAACATTTCACGGGCTGGACTAGTCTCGTCGTCAAGATCATGGCTCTCGATGACCTAAGCTCCTGGTCGACGGGCGGGAGCCCGGCCGAAAGGGAGAGGGATGAGCTATAGGGTGTTTTCGCGTGATGAAAAGGTTTTACGGGGAATACGACGCGTACCTACCTAGATACCTACCTATGGGGCGAATTTACGCTTGAGGGGAGCGGTCACGGAGGAATGTCCATATTTCGCATAGATGAGATTCTAATGACAATTGAGATGAATGATATGATGCGTCGATGATCTTCTGAAACATAGAACGGGCCTTTAAAAGACGATAGATAATATTCTGTTTTATATTTCTATGCTATATGTAGTACCTAGTGTGGTATACCATCCCAACCAACCCATCCAAAAGCGAACTCTATGATGAATGAGCCGCGATATTCCCCGTATCGAATTCTTTTTTCTCGCCCCTGTAATGCATCGTTGAGTCATCTAGCCCGCCAATGGGCTCTACTAGTTCTAGCACCCTACCCGCCCCTGTATACGCCTAATATGTAGGTATGTATGTATGTATGTATGTACATACGATAGATATTCATATAAAAAATAAAAAAACACACATTGTATCCACCCGTACGTAATGTAGATTCATAGGTCGTACATCAATCACGCCTCGTCATCAAAGACCCCCAACGGCCCCTTAAGTTTCGTAAACATCTCGTCGCGCTCGCCCTCGGCCGTACTCAGAGCGGTAACCGCGCCGCCGGCGCCAATATGCCAGACCTCGTGCTCCTGCTGGTTCTGGCCCTCGACCGTCTCGTCGTCCCAGCGGAACAAGCTCCGGATCGTGACGCTCCAGTCGCCACGGCCCGCGGCATCCATGTAGCCCACGACGCCGGAGTACAGGCTCCGCTCGCGACGGCCCTCGATCTCGTGCAGGATCTCGCAGCTGCGCTTCTTGGGGGCGCCCGTCATGCTTCCGGGGGGTAAGCTCGCGGCTAGGACGTCCAGGCCGGTTTTCTTTGGCGTTCCGTCGTCCTTGGTGTCCGGTAGCTGGCCCTCGACGACGCTGATCATCTGGAACACGCTAGCGTACTCCTCGACGATGTTAAGCTTAGGAACGGCTACGCGGCCGGGCCCACATACGCCGTGCAGATCGTGCCGTACGAGGTCGACGATCATCAAGTTTTCAGCTTCTTCTTTCGGTACGTGCAGGATGTCTTCGGCCTGTGCGAGGGTCGAGACGGCGCTCGATTTACGCACCGTGCCTTTCATCGGACGCATTGAACATAGACCATCGGCGCTGAACTCGAGGAACCGTTCCGGCGAGCTGCTGATCAGCGTTGCGCCGCCAAGCCGGATATACGAACCGAAGGGGGCAGGCTGGCGGGAACGTAGTGAACGATATAGCTGCCACGAAGTCTGAGGTGATTTTCCGGGTTCGAGAGGCCTTAGGGGGCAGGATTCTAGCGCGGGGGATATTTTTGGTCGCGTGATATGCGTCTGATCTGTTAAGCACAACTCATACGAATCGCCCGAGGCAATGAAATCTTGACACTGTCGGACTTTTGTCTCATATTCGTCAGCGTCCGGCACTTGTATTTGTGCTTTTGCAAATATGGAATCCGGCGTTGACGGCGGTGTAAGCTGGCTTAGTTGTGAACGCTTGTTGAAATCCGCGCGAAGCCCATCTGACCAAACTGGTGACGTTGAAAGCTTGTCGACGATAGAGTCTGCCCAGTTGTTTCCTTTAGACTCCGTTGGCGATAAGTATTGAATGCGTAAATTCCCTTCCGTATGATCTATCACAATACTTTTGGTGACCCAGGCAAAGCACAGATCTGGTCTGTTGTGGCGTCTCTCTTCGTGAGAACTGACGTCAATACCTTCCAATCCAAGTTCGTAAGTAGTATAGCCCATGAAGCCGCCAAGGAAAGGCGCAGAACAATCATCGGGTGCCACTCTTCGCTTAGTCCAGAATTCAGCTAATAGCTCCCATATGGTTTTCCCAGGGCTGAGATGAATCTTTTCGGACGAGAAAAGTTGTCGAGAACATGAGCAACGGGCGGTAACATGGCTATCTCCCGTTCTGTATTCCAACTTCAATGCCTCATCAACATCTAAGGCGATGATGCTATAACGCCCTCGTACATCAACTCCGATTCTATTTGCCTTGGCGCTTGCAGAGTCGAGAATGATGAAATCCCTCCTATCGCCCTGTAGTATCTCAACGATGTCGGGAGCCTCGATATGGATTGGGAGTTTTATCGTTCTGGATCCGTAATAGTGATTTATCCCAAAGGATGCTAGGTCGCTATCGCCATTTACCCATGAAGAACGACTATCCAAATCATGTCCATTAAAGCCTAGACTGTCCTTAGCGCTATGTGCGCTAGATTTTGGTAGTCTAGTAATAGAACCGAGTGAAACAGTGGTGGAATCTGTGATGCGGCCGTTCGTATAATTCCATCGCATGGCCTCACTGAACCAGTTCTTAATAACTTGATGGCCCGTTGGTTCCGTACATATTGACTCGGGGTGATATTGCAAGGCCCAGAACGGTCTCGTCCTGTGCTTCATACCCATAAGGATTCGCTCTGTATAGTCACCTCTGTTTTCATACACCCAGGCCAGGGGAACAATGTCCGGTAGATGCGTGGGGGATATCCATTTCGACGCCGTCCAATTATCTGCAGATATGGTATCTTGTCCAATATCCGCGTATAGACTGTGGTATAGCGTAGCTTTAAAAGGTGGAACACCATAGAAGATATCTCCCTCGTTTAAGCTAGGTTGTTCAGCATCATGATCGATTTCCCGAATCATGCCGTGAAGACCGGTCTTAAGTTTCTTCACGACGCCACCACAGCTGACAACTAGGCTTTGAAAACCCAAGCATATTCCGAGAACCGGGACTAGATGCGCCGGTTCGAGGTCCCATATGTATCTCATAAGCCCCACATCCTGAGGCAAGTTAGGCGATCCGGGACCCGGGCCACAGACGACAGCATCATAGCGACGCAGCAGATCAGTCAACTCGTGAGTAAAATTTGGTGCTTGCGGGCGAAGCTCAGGAGGATCAATGGGTAAGATATCAACATGAGCTTGTAACGTCGTTGTCAGAAGAGAAACAATATTGTTACTAAAAGAATCATAAGCGTCAATGAAGAGAATCTTAGGTTTGTTCATATTGATGTCTGCGAGAATATGCCAACCTTGGCTTGGTTGGACATGATGGACGTTGTGCTCCACGATTACATGTACGTATATATATAATAATAGGTGCAGGTGTAGAGCTATTTTATCTCATTCGCCAAGATAGTAGGTAATAGAAATAATAAGTAAGCCTGACTTAGAAGAAGAATTTTCCCAATCAAAGGATCAGACGTGAGAAGGCGTATGTTTGCACCTGACAGGGGGTCTTAACTTATTAGGTTAGTGGACATCACTAATAACAGGTAAGCTTTGGTACTTTCCATGGAGTATATGTTTGTTAGCTTTAAAAAAAGGGGGGCGGGCGAGATCCTTAGCTACGAATATTGGACCGAGAGGAAGCGGCTTAAACCGAGCCTCCGGGATCACCATAATTGTTATTTTTATATCCAAAATATATAGAAATCTTAAGCACAGATAACCAAGGTAGCAGTTCTCTCGATTATATTAAATACCGGGATGGAATTCTTTTTCATCTCTATAACTAACTACCTAACCTGGGTACTCAACTTCCTAGTCATCCGGGGCTCAATCCGGGACCAATCGCTACTCGGTAGCCTATCAAGTTGTCCTAGACGTGAATTCCCGTTGTGTAGCTAAGTTGTCAAGCCGAAGACAAATTGAGCATGTCGCATGCGTTGCACATGAGATAGGCCTAGTTGTGAGCTATCTCACCGCTTGTAATATCTACAATTATAATATCACCTCGACTCCTGACTCCTAAGAATGCGAATCGGGCATAGAAAGCCGAGCCAGCTTGACATCGCAGATCTCGTCGTGGTTACACGCAGACAGGATACACAAGTTTCGCATTGCGTAGAATGAGTAGAACTATCTCAGCAAATGCCGGTCAGCTCAGCCCTAAGTATCAATATATAGGTACCTAGGTAGGTAGGTAACTTTCGTAATGCTTCTCATGCAACGACTCCTTTATTCGCTACCCCAATCTAACCCATAACGCGCGTCTGAAACCTTGTATTCCCGTAAGGCCTTGAGCGCACCCTCGGCATCGTTTGCCGTAACTAATATATCGGCATTCCCTGCCTTTACGAAGCCCTCGTCGACGGCAGTCTTAATCCACTGTGTCAAGCCGTTATAGAATCCGTTCGTGTTGAGTAAACAAACGCCTTTATCGTGGATGCCCAGTTGATTCCATGTGGCCGTCTCGAGCAGCTCTTCCATCGTGCCGTAGCCGCCAGGGAGTGCAATGAAGCCACTTCCGGGTCCTCCTTCGATCACTTCTTTCGCCATCATCTGCTTCCTCGTATGCATGTCTTTAACAACCGTCGTTCGGCCGTAAACCTGCTCTTCCGGAACGTGATACCCGTTGGCATCCTGAGTCGACGAATAAGTTGCATCTCGCTCCCATCTAACTAACGCCTCGGGGATAATACCGTGGACGGCATCCGGGCCTGCTATGGATACTATTGTCTTTGCTACTTCTCCCATCAGCCCTACTGTGCCACCTCCGTACACTAAATACAAGACGTTAGTAATGCTCAAATAATAAGAACCCCGATATCCATATAGAAAGAGGGCAAAACAACAAAGAGCCTACCTAAAGAGATGTTATTCTCGGCCATAAGCCTGCCCAGATCCTGGGCTGCTTTAAGATACGCCGGCTTGTTCCCGGGTGACGATCCGCAGTAAACGCAAATTTTGGCCGGCCGCGGGGTGGCGTTGGAATTCGGACCGGACGTCATCGTGTTATGAACTTCAGGATGTCTGACAGAAGTGGGGTCTCTCGAGATGGGTGGTCGAGATTTAGGAATGTGGAGGCTTAAAAATGATCTAGACTATCTTATGAAGGTAGGTAAAAAAAGATTTGCTTCCTAGAGCCGGCTACCAAGACAAGAAGAAAACGGGAAAGTTGGGCATAAGGCGAAACAAGCTCGGACTACCAGGATAGATGGGCGGAGGCAAAGATTTTATAAATTATGATAAGAGAAGTTAAGCTGGGTAGAAGAGCTGGGCACGAGGAATGTAAGATATCGAATCACTAAGCACAAATCAGAGCTCGCAAACAACGATAGCAAAGTATAGAAGCGCAACGAGGACGAGGAAGTGTTTGTGTGTGGCGGGAAGCGGCATCTGAATCAAGTCAAGGTGGGACTTGGGCGTTGAAGCGATGAATCCCCGTTTTTGGCTGCCATCTTTTTCTCTTGCTAGGCCCGAGTCACTAAAGTCCATCTCACCAATGACGTAGCTTAGTCGACAATAACGAAGTTTCTGGTGGCATGGCAGCGTGGCCAACCAGGTAGCTTGTCTAGCACTGGTTGAGCTGTAGGCTGTACTTATGTAGTAGCCTTTAGGTAAGGTATTGTACCTATCTTGGTTTGCCGGGGGGGCAATGATAATAAAATGGGCCGTTGTGTTGCTACAATATATCTAATATGTATGTGTGGCATATGCGTATAGCATTAGGTGTGTATGAGTGAGAGTGAAGAAAAAAAATTTTGTCTTAGGCGTGTCTTGGACTACATTGGCAAATCGCTTCGGGCAATGATGAAGGAGAAGACGATTTATAATTGGTCCCCTCCTTGCCAGCTAACATGGAAAATGGCTTACAAAAGCTGCGAAGTAAGGCAATGTTGCACTTGACAAGTCAGCCAGGTTTACATACACATAAGGTATTATTAGGTAGGTACAGGGTTGTATAGTACTCAAGTCCCTAACTTAAAGGTAGGAGGAGGTGGTGATGAGTCCTGCTATCCCTGTGAATTTCTCTTAGGTACCTTAAGGTACAGGCTTATGTCGTGCACTATCATCGGATTATGATTCGCCGATCTTACCGCTGTCGGAGAGGGTCCAGGCCAACCAGATCTGGCTAGAAGCTAATCGACCGGGATTGCGATACCTCCAACTACACACGTCTTATCAAAAACATGTATTCTATTCTTTTTTTCCTGGCGACGTTTTACAGAGGCATAACCACCTCTGCCTAATTCATCCCGATCCAAACTAAGTGTCGATTAAGGTCGCATCCATCTAGAAAGACTTCCTACCTAACTAGTGTATATTCCTTAAGTCTGTATCACAGCCTGGACATCACTATTAGGAGAGATGCCTGAGGCAAACGCCGCCCCGGCCGGGGACGCTCGCGAAGGGCAAGGCGTAAGTTGTCACGTCACAGTCTTTCTTAATAGCAAACTTGAGACCGAAACTAACAGCGCTATATTTTAGTCCATAGTCGGGAAAATCGTCCAGGGTTTAGCGATATGGTTTGGCATGCAATTGTTGATGAAGCAGTTGACGGGCGGTAATAAGACACAAACCGCTACTGTTAAAGACGCCTCCGGCAATGCTGTACAGGTTCCCACGAATACTGGCGATATACCTGCCTACCATCTTCGTCCGCGAACTCTCGACGAAGGAGCCGTCTGGAGCTCCATTCCACAGCGGCTCGCACCCATCTGGCCCGATGATAGCCCCATCGATATTATCGTTACGCTCTCGCCGTCCTTCATGCCCACCAAGATCTCTGATGTCCCAGAGGAGTACGTCGCTCTTAGTGAGAAAAATTTCAAGCTAAGTAACTCGAGTGACACCCGGGTTGCCGAGGGTACTTTCAATGTGCCTTCGGCCGTTCAGAAGAATGGGACGCTCTGGGGACACTTTTATATTGGATTGACAGGAGCCAATCTTGACCCTAAGGAGCCAGGATTCGATCCGGCGAAGGCCTTCCATTTCGTGCACCCCTTGACGCAATACATTCCAAAGAAGAAGGAAGCAAAGACCCGTAACTTGCTAGAAGGACGACCTGAAGCTGAGGTAGAGGAAGAACCCGAAGAACAAATCACCGGCCCAATCATCGCAAGCTATTATCATCCCAATACTAGTTTATCGTTCGTTACGGGCATGGGCGTCTTAACCTATCCACAATTGCAGCCAGCTGTGAGACAATTCGTACATGTAGAGGTAAGGTCCTAGTTTCGTTGGACTTGTCACGCCAGTGCTAATATCCTACAGCCTACTGGTGCTCGCGACGGCTCTGGGCAGAATTCTTGGTACTGTAAGTTACCCCTCGCCTAGGTTTATCTAGATTGCGTAGGCAATGAAAGACTAACATTGGTCGTAGACCCTATCTTATACGTTAATACGTTCTGGCAACTCAAGAGTCACATGACGCTTCTCAATGAAACTGTTAAGACATTACCTATACGCCTTGACCTTGGTAATCTGAAGGGTTTATATTTCAACCTTATGGCCACGATGGATTTCAACTCTAAGCAGCAGCAACTCCAAGCTGCGTATGGCGCGCCTATGCCAGGTGGCAGCGATGGAAGCGAGATTGATATGATCAAGGAGATGTTATTGGACACGAACCCTTATCTCATTGGTGTAACAGCAGTCGTGAGCATTGCACACCTGTTCCTTGAGATGCTCGCTTTCGGATCCGATATCGCCCATTACCGCAAGAAGAAGGACAACGTTGGTATTTCGGTTCGCTCGATCCTGGCCAACGTCTTTATGCAAGCAGTCATCTTCCTCTACCTGATCGATAATTCTCAGAATACCAGCTGGATGATTCTCGGCACTCAGGGTATTGGTATCTTCATCGAGTTCTGGAAGATTACTACCGTTGTGGATGTCAGAGTGCGGCCAGCTCCACCAGGATCATTGATACCCTACCGGATCGCGTTCGAGGATAAATATAAGCTTAGCGAGACCGAGGAGAAGACGAAGGAGTACGACGAGATCGCATTTAAATACATGTATGTCGCCGCGGTCCCTCTACTCATCGGCTATGCCATCTGGTCGCTGGTCTACGAATCACACAAATCGTGGTACTCGTATATCCTCACAACCCTGGTAGGGTCCGTATACGCATATGGTTTCTTGATGATGGTACCTTCGCTTTACATCAACTACCGGCTTAAGAGCGTGGCCCACATGCCGGGTAAGGCAATGCTTTACAAGTTTTTGAACACCTTCATCGATGATCTATTCGCCTTTACCATCAAGATGCCGTTCTTGTATCGTCTAGCTACGTTCCGAGATGATATCATCTTTTTCATCTACCTGTATCAGCGGTGGGCATACAGGATTGACTACACCCGAGTCAACGAATTCGGCCAGGGTGGTGATGATGAAGAAACCGAGGAGACTAAGGCCGAGCCTAAGTCGCTACCTAATGCCGAAGCTGTCACCGAAAAGGTTGAGGGCACTGCGAAAGCCAGCGGTGCGGATACCGGCGCAGCGAAGAAGAGGAAGTAGAGTAAGATGAGCTTTAAGGATGGCATGTTCGCATGCGTCTTTGACATATAAAGTTATGATTACTTAATGTTGGCATATAGAAATAGAGTACTACATTAGGCAGAATTGTCCGAAGAGAAGTCTTCTTAATCGGTTATACTATAGTCTCTAATTGCACCAAATGCTTATTATGCATCTAAGTATACACTCGTACACTACCTTATTATACACTATATTGCACATGTTCTAGGGTGTGGAGTATCATAAATTCGTACTGTCGCCAATCACATGCATAACAGTAGTGTATGTACAATATCAGCCCTACGCACATACATAGGCCTGAGCAATTAACTTAGCGACCCAGACAATTCTACGCTAGGCCCAATATATACGATGATGTACATGCTAATTGAAGACTGAAACAAAAGTACCATGTACATTTATGTAGGTCTTTCCATGTCTAGGGCTTCCAAGGTTCTGTTCCATGCTTGCTGTACAAGTAGCAGAGTTCGGACGATAAGGCATTTCTCTGTTCCTTTTCTTTCCTTGCAACTCAATACCTTGATCTGCCCCCAACATACGGGTCCATACGGGAGTATTACTTAAACAGCGGCTGGCATCATTACTTACCTGGTACCTACCTACCTAACCTTAGGTACCTAGACGACAAGAACCATACTGCTCCTTAAACATCCCGATTACACTATCTTATCTCCCCGTCCCTTGCATCTCGATAGTCGGCAGCTAGTTGCCGGTCTAGATCCGTCTCCCCGAGCTTAACTAAAACGACAGTTACGTAGGTGGAAAGTCTACCCCCCCTTTTAAGTTTCGCCATAGAGGGAAATAAAAAAGGAGACCAAATATAATACATCAAAGGTTTCTCGGTTTGCGTAGGAGACATCTAGCCCCCCTTTTAAGCTTTCATCCCACCAACCTTTCTAGAGGAAGACGGAGGAGGAAGGGGACGAGGTGTGCCAGATCGGATCGCGTCACGTCGGGAAGCACAAGCACAAGCACAGGCAACTAACCGATAATCCACACTCCGTCCTCTCCGCCGTTTTGGGGCGAGAGGGTATAACTCCCAGTAGGACATGAGCCACGAGACTGTTGGTTCGCTCCTGGCCGTCATCGCCAACTCGCTTAACGATGGCCTGCGCATCATGATGTTCGCCGACAAGCGGGCCTGGGGGTCCGACGAGTTCGAGCAGCTTCGTCTGCTAGAGGAGACCCTCGATGAGGCTAAGAAGGACTTCCAGGAACTGCCTGCTCTTGTCAACGGGAGGTACTACTACGAGAACGATCGTATAGGTATGCCAAGTGTTCCCCCTTTCCCACCCACCCCAAGCTTTCCATTCGCACTGGTTTACATATATATCGTTACCTATATTCCACCTACCTATTCCTTTGAAAGACCACCTGCCTGCTCCCTGAAAGAGAAGTTGACCCAATAAGCCTAATTCTGCTTTGCGCTCCCAACAGACGAGTCCCTCGAAGACCTCCGTATCCTATGCACGCGCTTCGAGCTGCACACGCAGACCTTTAAAGACTGGGTGCGCCACGGCGGCTCCATAGACCCGTCCTGGGCCCACGAGACAACCGTCCTCCGACGCGAATTACACCGCGCTCAGTGCCGCGCCGCCAGACGCATACACAGCGCACAGCAGATCGAGACCTCGGCCGAGAGCGTAAGATGTCTTGGCGCCTTGCAGGTGTACCGCGTGCAAAAAGGGCGCGACGTACGTGTCGAGGACGAGCGGGCTGCGTGCGCGCAGGCAGGTCGCTTCGAGAGGTATGCGGAGAGAGACGTAGCTTTCGTGTGCGATTTCTGCGACGGGTTTTTAGTCTGGGAGGACCTGCGCGCGGTCCCGACTACGCGGATAGCACAGCCTCCCCCGCGCAACGACGATCTCCCCGCACCCGTTACGAGTACGACGAGAGTTGGCGAGTCCGGCAATAACAATAATAATAGTAGTAATATTCCCGGCGACGGCGATAACGAGATCAATCCCGCCACCGCGAATTGGCAAGCCCGGGGCATCGCCCTCTCCAACGGCGAGCAGAAGACGATAGTATTCGCGCCCGTGGCCGTGGCAAACCATGTGCCCCCCGAAATAGGCGAGTGGCGGTCGCGGATCCTGTGCCCGCACTGCGACGAGTACTACTACGAGGAACAGGGCGACGGCGACATGGAGCGCCTGCGGTATACGCAGGGCCGAGGGTTCGAAAGCGTTGCAGCTTTTCAGGAGCATCTGGAGTGGAGCCATGCGTCCATTGTGCCGAGTACTTCGAACTGCAGAGTTATGTAAGGGGGAGAGAGGGACAAAGGAAGGGAGGCTATTTGAAATCCCAGATTGGGAGCTTAACTTAATTACATGACGGCGTTCGGGGCCTGTGCATCGAACCAATTGGGACTTATTTATATAGATATCTAATCCATCGCAGGTCTAAAAGAACAAAGGCGAGGCGTTCAGGTGTCCATTGAAAAGGAAGAGAGGGATCTATCTAGGTACCTGACGACGGCTCTGCTTATAGATATTTAGCATCGAGGTCTATAGAAGGGGAGGGGGAGCATTCAACAAGCCGAATAAAGGAAAAGAACTCAATAGAGTGGTCTGATTAGTTTGGATATTAAGACTGTGCTCATAGGGAGCTATTCCCAAGGCTCTTTATATGCTGTAGTAACTCGACTATTGTACCGCCCAGTAACGAGTTCAAATGATACATCTGAAGATTGAACTCATGCTTGCCCGCCCGTACTTATCTTCTCCTTCGTGCTGCCTGTTGGTGATACATGTCTACGTATGTATTATATACATTAGTCCTAAACGGACTTTGCGTAATTCCTCTTCCCCCCTTTCCACCCCCCTCCCTTTTTCCTGCCACCTCACCCCTTACCACCACCACCCACTCCGTAACCGACCTCAAAAGAACCGGATCCAAATAAACACCAGCACAATCAGCACAAACACACCAATTGGCGCATACTGCTTAATCAGCAAATCCCAATTAATCTTCACGGCCGCCTTCCTATACTTGCGACTGTCATCCCTCAGCCTCGAGCTCATCTCGCCCATGCGCTCCAGACTATCGCCGCGATACAGCAAGTCCTCGATATTCTTCGTCATGACCTTGGTCACGTCGCGCAGCTCGTCGTTTAAGCGGCCTAGGCCCTGCGCGGCGCGCGCGTCGGCGTACAGGGCCTTGGTGCGCGTGATGAAGGTGTCGAATTCCATGAAGGCGTAGGGACGCAGGGACGGGGAGTGCAGTTGGGGCGCGGGGTAGGACTGGGCGAATTCGGTGGAGAGGTCGGAGAGGTAGGTGAATGCTAACTTGCGCGGGTAGGACCGCTCGCTGATGCAGATGTAGACTATGTCGTTGGCGATGAGGTAGCTGGGAGGAAAGTAAGGGTCAGTTACACACACACACACACACATATATATATATGTAGGGTTGGAGAGAATGAGACGAAGAGGAGGAGGATGGCGTACTGGATTGTGTAGTTGCCGCTTTCGATGCTGGCTTGGGGTTCGGCGTTGCGGTTTAGTCGTCGCAGTATGATTTTTGTTTGCGACTTGACTTCGGGGAGGGAGGATCCTGACTGCTTGATGGTAATAAGACGGTTAGTATAGGATACGAACACTTGATAAGGTACCTAAGTGAATAAAGGAGTGCGGCAGGATAAATATAAAGAGACGGCAACATACTTGTTCGTCATCGACGGACGCGCAGAGCATCAGGCCTGGATTGCTAGTATTAGTCTAGGCTTGGAGATGGGAGGCATGGCGTATAAATAGATAACACATACCGTCGCCCAAACGGGCTATCTGCGTTGACCTGATCATCTTTCGGATGGTGTGGTCGCGTGGTGGTTTGGTATGTGTGGAATTGCTGTTTGGCACTATTCGACACTAAGGGGAAGAGTAAAGATAAACGTGGTAATAAAGGTACTATCTGGAGTATGTAGTGTACGTGTCTAAAATGACAAGCTGCAGACACCTCAACGATCAAGTAAAAAGGATATATTGTTGTCCCAGGTAGGTTTTGAATAACTAGACAAAATTAACAGCTGCTTGCTTCGATATGACCCTTTTCACATATCAGGTTAAGGGGTAGTCACTAGGGAAAATGGTGCTATATTAGTTTTGGTGAAGTTATCTCCAATAAGTGTATTCTGCACTCTTTGGCTGGAACGGCGATTCCAAGGAGTGTTGATTAACCAAGGTACAATAAGGTAAGGTAAGTCCAGTTGAAAGTCGGTAATGCAACGTCAGGGGTTTGATTACAAGGATGAAGATTGGATAATTCGGCTGTGGGGCCAAGCTAAAAGGAAAGATATCTTATCGATTACAGGTGCTGACAGGGCTAAAAAAACAATCCAGAATAGGCCTAAAATAGCAAGAACCCACCTATCATTTTCGCCGACCAGCCGTTATTTCCCTTTTAGGCCATGCCGCATTTACTTACATCTTGTTGCACGGTCGTAGCTGCCGTCGCAGTTGTAGTTGTAGTCGTAGTTGCAGCCTCGGCGACTGCCTCTGAATAATTATTATATATCAGGTGTACGTACAATGACAAATAAATCTTTTTAGGGCAAAAGAGACGTCCTCAATTTCACGCTTCTTCAACTAATCCGTACACTTTTTCTCTTTTGCCATATTTCCTCAGTGCCACATTTACTGGTTTCTCGGTGCTGTTATGAATTAATAGATGCTTCCTTTTACCTGCCTACATTATCTCTCTCTTGTCTCTGGTTTGCAACTCTTTTTGATTTAAAAGCCCGCCTCTTTATATTCACCTAACACTTCCTACCATCTTCTCTTTTCCCTTAATCATCCCCGATCATTCAAACATGCCTCCTCGAAAGAGAACTAAAGGTGCGACCGAAGAAAAGGCGGAAGAACCCATCAGAAGATCAACCAGGGCAGCCAAGAGATCTGCTCCTACATCCTCTTCGGATGAATTCTCTCCCAAAGACTTAACTATTCGCGGGCATGGCTTGAAACTTTCAGACACCAAGGACCCATCTGAAGAGGAGGTCGGTGATGTGATCACCGTTCGCCTTACCCGGTCCAAGTCTCATGCAAGCAGCCGCCCCTCAACCGCAAGGAGCGACTCCACCTCCCAATCAAATAAGCTTAGAATTGTTTCAGCTTCATCTCAGGTAGGAGATGAGGACATATTCGATATCGACAATGATGGGAAGGAAGATGAACTTACTTACGAGGGACCGGCTAAGAAGAAGAGCAAGCCTAGTATCAATGAGAAACCTTCAAACAGTCGAAGGTTTAGATACAAGTATGACAACCCTGACGAGATGCTTACAAACTCCCTATCACCTCTAGCAACCGCCCAACTTCGAGTAAGTGAATATTCATCTCCTAGCTTTATCACGAATAGTTATATGCTATAAGCTATTCCTGTCACATACAACTATACGTGTCTTATATTCGTGGCATTCTTACTAAAGCGCCGCACAGGAACTACTCTGCAGTGAAGCGGCTTGGGACCTATTAAGCACAGAGGAGAAGCAGCAAGTACTTGCAAAGTTCCCAGACGAGAAGGAGATCCTCAACGTCGGCACAGAGAACGCAAGGCCAAACATCGCAGCGCTCAGAAACAACAATAACTTCCGGCACGATATAGTGCGGTACCAGGATGACCTGAGAAAGGGATGGCATGACCCAGAGTGGATCCGACAGGCACAATCCGCTCATAGCAAGCGCGAGATTGGCTTCTACGACGAGTATCTTTCCAATCGCTTTCAGGAGGATTGGAGCATGGGAATGCCGAGAGAGGAAGACAAGGAGAACGTACAGGATGTGAGTAATGCACATCATATTGGAGAACATCCAGAGGTGAAAGTACTCGAGAAGGATGGTAATGCTCGAGAAGAAAGACGAGAGCAAGATATCGAATCACAGAACAGAGAAGACCAGGATCCGGACCCTGACCCAATGAAGGGAGTGGAGGACACCTCTCACGCGAATGGGGACGAAAACTCGGACAAGAAGACATTGGAGCAGGCCAAAGATGTGAAGGGACAGACGGGTGGCACGAAGAAAGATGGAGATTTGCAGGAGCATTCTTCAGACATAATCATGGAGACGATGTAGGATGAAGGGTCACAGTAATTCTCCTGGCAAGAAGTCATATTGGACACTATGATAACGAAAGGTACTACGAAGCTCTAACGAAAATTAAATAATAATATTGCAGCAAGTTTAGGAAATTAGAATCCTTGGTATTCTTTATTACCTGTTCGCCGTACATAATACCCTAGAAAACCATTACTTTACGGTATCCCCAGTCCTCTCCTCTTTCTTCTTACACCGCTATATCAACTATCACCAGCACAACACATGTCCCACCATCGTCAAACCGTCAACTCAAAGTCTGGTCCTCCCGAAGGGTTGTAGGACATGGATATAATCAGCGGTCTCAACAAGTCAAGTCAAGCAAGTTTTTACTAAAAGCTTGGCCGCCCCCAAGTCAAGTCAAATAAATGAATTTTTGTATTTAACTGACAATATTTACGGATTGGCTTGGGTTTCGGAGCCGGAATAGTATTAGTCCGATAGCGCCTCTCTTAAAAAAAACATAAGCCACAAAATCGATATATCCAGCCACACTACGCCACACCAAACCACTCTCTTAATCACCAATTATACCACGTAAATATGTATATAAGTGGGTCTGGATATCAAAATATATTTGGATATTTGGTCAAATATCTTAAAATAGATATCTGGCCAAGTCAAGTCAAGCCAAGTCAAGTCAAGTCAAATAATTACTTGACTTGTTGAGACCGCTGGATATAATAGGAGACGGGTAAGGCTAGATACCTACCTAGGTAGGGAATATCCGAGACCTCAAGAGCTCTAAAGACGAATAAGGCCTGCTCTATGCTACGTAGAAATAGCGATAATAAATAAAATATAGCTGGAAGTTAAGGTACTTTTTACTCATCAAATAGTCTAACTGATTAGTTTGTGTACCTACCTAGCCTAAACTAGGAAGACGAACCTCTCCTACTTGATATAATTAGGTATTAACAAATACGTATTGGGGGGTTAGGGGAGAAGGCATTCGCAATACATACAGACCCTATTATCTACCTACCTAATATATCGTCGAACATGCCGGCCAATATCACCTACGTAGATATGTATTCCTGAACGAATCGAGGTGGATCGTCGGAGGCACTTAACTTAACCCAAGACAGGATTAGGAAGCATGGTTTAAGGCTACCTAAATATTAGACTTGGGTATTTGATAGGTAATCGAAGATGAGCTGCTCGTGTCTATGTAATTCTAAATCACCGCTCTCCTGGAATACATACACAAGCTAAACCGAGCATTACACATACTCACATTCATGCAAACTACACTCTACACTCTCTCGCCGCCCACGCGTCCACGCAATCCCAATCTCCAAGCCGTAAAATAATCGTCACACCCGGACACAAAGTAACCACACGGGATAGTATACGCGGCAGTTGACCCCTACGCCTTATCAGGAACTAAGATATATATACCTGTTTAATTATGTGTAGCCGTAGCTGCCCCGGGATCGCATGACTACCTAACCTAGGTACCTAGGTAGTTACTTCACTTCATTCATCTATGTAGTAATTACCTATCTCTAAAAACGTCCTCTTCTTTTATACATACATGACCTCCATACATATACCTCTCCAACCGCGGGACTACCCTCCCATCACGTCACGTTACGTTACGTCACGTATACTCTCCTATACTCTCCTCTGCCCACCCACCCACTTCCTCCCATCCCCTCCCCTCCCTATCTATCCCGCACACTGAAAAAGCACGGCCGTCGAGAATGCCACAAGCGCCTCTCCCTAGCGCCCAGGACCGCATCCATCAGGATCTCCGTCTCGGAGCGCGGGGGGCGACGCTCCTTATCCCCTCCTTCCTCCGGCGTCCAGAGCTGCGTCTCCTCGACCGAAGCCGACATCTCGAATTCCCCGCGGCACAGCGCGGTGACGCCGAGCACGACCTCGGCGCTCGAGCGGGCTTCGACCGGCGGCAGGGTCTGCTGCAGCGCGCCGTTCCACGCGAGCTTGCGCGTGAAGTCGAGGGCTACGTTTAGCGGGCGGTGGCGCAGCGAGGGCATGAGGCGTAGGGTGGGGTACACGGGTTCGCTCATGCGGTTCGTGATGACGACTTTGACTTGCGCGAACTCGTCCGTGAAGATTGTGTTTTTGCCTTTCCGCGGCGAGTCTTCTTCGTCTTCGTCGTCTTCCGGATCCTCGATAGAAATACCAATCCCAACCTCGTCGATCTTAATCGCTTCGATCATACGCGGCGCGAGGCGGATACCGCGCAACTCGATGGTGCCTTCTCTCGATGGCCCGGACAGAGTCTTCCACGAACCGGATAGCTTTTCTAGAACCTTTTCGCGGTACCAGAATGCCTCGCGGTTGCCGCGCTCTATCTCCGGCGTGATCTTGCTGCTGCTGACGACGAATTGCCGTTGGCGGGAGGGGTTGAGAGCTGGGATTGATGCGTGGGGGTCCTCTATGTATACCCTGGGAACGGGGAAGACGACGCGGTTGGTATTTCCCGGTAGGATATGTTCTTTTATCATGATGCCGCTCTCTGCCTCGAGGCAGACTTGCATATCACTTGGCCAGGCATTCCGGAGATCTAGTAACAGAAGGCAGTACTCTTCCTCAGATAGTGAAGCCTCTACCCCGGCTGCCTCCGCACCCACGCGAGACCAAATTGGTTTAGGTACGCCATTTGTAAGGGGCAAAACATCCATCCTCGCGAGCTCTATGCTGGCATTGACAGTGATGGTCAAGTCGAGACAGACTTGGCGGGTATGGAACTGCTCCGTGATTTCGGACTGGGGTACACCAAGGTATGCGTAATCGACTTGAATAGTCCCATTGGTAAGGCCAGGCTTTCCAAGAATCTCGAAATCAAATGTGGCCGTGCCCCCAGGCGCTATGTACCTCTTAGAGTCGTCGACCTTGCGCAGTCGCAAGGCCTGTTTCCTCGCTAGGATGAGTTCGTACTCGTATAATTCCGCAGGCGTCGCATCTCTACTTGTCAATGCTGTTTGTAGGGGTCCTTGTGTTGAGTCCCGGAAAGAGAAAAGTAGTAAATCCGCTGGCGTAGATTGGGATAAGTTTTGTAGCGTCACAGAAAAGACCCGGCGCTCTCCTTCTAGAATCATTACTGAATCCTGAAGGAGAGACGTAGATTTAATAGCAATAATAGGCTGTGCAGGGATGGCACTTAGTCCGATACTGTCCGGGCTCAACGAAGGCCCAGAAAATGGCAACTTCTTAGCCTGCTCTAATGAAGCCAACCCAATCCCCTTAACCTTGGTTTCCGTATCCGGAGCCCACGGCTGAGGGAAGATGGGAAATCTTCTTTCGCGGCATCCGCGTACTTTCACGATGGCCCCCTTTATCTTCAACGGGCCTGCGGCTCTAGGGGTTCCAGCGAGCTTCAGGATCTGCGTACGATACTGCCCTATTATCGTACTTGTTGTAGATGATTCGAAATCAGCCCCTTCAGCATCCAGTTTGATACTCTCAATATCGACGTCGATTTCATAAGGGTTCTGAAGCGTAACCCTGAAAACTGCTGCTTCTCCGGCAACAAGTGTTCTTTCCACCGCCACCTTGTCCGAATCTCTTATAAATGGGTTATAGATGAAAGGATTTACGTCTTGCGAAGTGCGGACCGTCGTCACACTTGGCAGGACATGCTTAGAATGCGGTATGGGCGTTCTACTTTGCGGCAAAGGATCCATTGTAATCCCCCGGACGAGGAATTCGTCCCAGTATTCTCCAGAAAGGCTTTCCAAACCTAGCCTCTGAGACAAGCCAGAAGTCTTTGTGATATTATTTGCCAACCTGATCTGTTCCTCTCTTGTAATTATCGGTGCTGCATCTTCCCGGCGCGGTCCTGGCGCGACTCCGCTTCCAGCAGTGCGCAATAGATCGCTCGAGAATTTCAATACGCCGTTGAAGTCTGGCAAAGCTTCAGAGAAATTAATGCAAGCCCGTAGAACGTTGAGCTTTAAATTTTGAAATCCAAACTGCCTGATTGCGGATTGGCTCTGAATTCTCGAGATGACATTTTCGTCTGTGTCAACCGCTTGGTGCGATTCAGAGGCTTCACTCGTGTCCTTTTCGAAGCTGACAACCCCGTAGATTTTAGATAGTATTCCGAGAAAAGCGTCGATACCATGTTCTATATCCCCCTCGCCTAGCTCAAGAGACCCCGCACCATTTCCGTGACCATTAACGGCATTGAGCGCTATCAGACCGGCCGCCGGATGAATACCGACCTCAGCGGCGCCTCGTGTTCTCGCTTCGACCAGTCCTCCGATCAATACCGATACCAATTCTCGCACAACCATGGCCTTTTTCCTATGGAAGCCCAGCAAGCCAAGGATAGTAGAAATTCCGCTAAGAATGATTGCACGGTCTACGGTTGTAAGCAATTCCGGCGCAGACGACGGGAAAGCTTTAAATAACAAAGACGCGATCTGAGCGCGGGGAGGGACGATAATTAAGCGAGGTGATGTAGTGAGAGTATTTCTGGGTAGATTACCGAGGACGGCTATTTCCAACGCTTTCTTGTCAAGCCTGCCTTGGCGCAAATGAAGAACTGTGAGTAGTGTACAGAACCTGATGATGGATTCCGAAAGTGGAAATGGAGGAAGCTGTTCACCAGATATCCTCGAATACAACGCTATTATTCTGTCAAGCAAATCCGGAAGAATGGTTTGGAGGTGCCGTAGGTGTTTTGGTTGCTCAGCGTCGCCCTCTTCGAGTTCTGCTGGGCCTTTAGCTATGGCGCTGATTGACTTCTCGTTCGCAGGTAGGCATACTGCAGGAACTTGAAACTCGACTCCGACCCAACCAAGTAAGAGTAGACATATCGTAATGAGTTCAAGTGCTTTGCCGTGCCACAAGTGGTCATTAATAGACTTTGCGATAGTGGCACCTTCGATCAGCTCTTTCAGTGCGTCCGTCCACCGACCAGCCTGAAGATATAAAGATCCTACTAAGATGATCACTCGCCCCCGGCTTTTATTCCTCCACCTCTCGTTCAAACTACCAGACCCAAAGCCCATTATTGAAACCTTGTCTTGGGTTGCTGCTCTCATCCCCCCGGCAGAACCTGGGCGAGGTGCTTCGGGGATTGATACATCGGGATTGCCTTCGTTCACGGTAGTTATGTCTTCAAATGTAGTTGGCGGGTTGGACAACCCACTACGGACGGGAGTTGAAGGTCGTGCTGAAGGAGTCGAGCTGCTAGATCCAAAAGGGAGCGACTTGAAAGGCACTGGCATGGACATCCGGGCAAGGTTCCTATCCGCAGCACCGCTACTTGATGCCGACCTTGTAACGGTGGACACGGCATATTGCGAGTTCCTTCGCGCAGCTGGGTTCGCATCGTCCGAAGTCCAAGACGCCCCGTTAAGTCCCGGCCTTGCGGGAGCTTGACCGGGGGAGTCTATAGACGTTGTTCCTTCAAAGGATTTGGCAAGTGTTGTCATCTCCGCTAGCAACAAGGAAGATATATCGCACATGATAGTTTTAACCGTGGTTCTATTCGAGTTTTCCACCGGTGGGACTGTTTTGATGCCTTCGGGAATAGGAACTGTGCTTTCGGTTTGTGGTGCATAATCGAATATGAGCACTTGATGCGTAAGGATCTTTGGATACGTGTCCCGCAACTCCTCAAGTTCTTGGTACAGAGTCCTAATGTTCCTCTCCACCATAGTCGGCGCATGGCCATTGGCGGATTGTCTCTTGCTAAACGTGACACTTTCGAGTTCTCGGCCGTCAGCGATGGCAATAATGGCAAGTGGTTCACGAAAAAGCTCGAAAGGGGCGAGGGCGAGATGGGATGGAGGGGGTATGTAGGTGATTAGATCGTAAAACATAGCACCGTCCGGGAACGCGAGGGGGGAGAACATATCTGAGAAGAATATCATTAGTCTTATGAGCCCCAGCATGGCCTATTTAGAGCGCATTACTTACTCCGATTAGGTCGGCCATCGGCGCTGATGTCGCGGAGTTGGACAACATGCTCCTCGTTGAGTCTTTGAACAAAAGACGTAAACCTATCCCGCTTGATCTGACCGACAGGCAAGACTAATGCCCGTACCCTCGCCGGGGCGATGGGTAACAAGGAATCCAGGCTCATCCTAACATCTGCCTTGACCTCACACTACCATGACAGAACAACCGCATCGCATGCCTAGGGCTAAGTACGGACGAGTCGCGCGATTCGTTCGGCCCTTTGCGCAACTCGAGTACGTCGCAAGCGTTGTTTGATATTAGCGTCTTAGCATTTGTTCGATTTCGACATATATTAAACTCGTAGGAATAAAGACCGGCTGTATGAGACGAGGTAATATAGTTTAAAATAAGTAGCCTTTTCTTTTGAACAGCGAAATCTAATCGGTAGAATGACGATGAAATGCCCAAGTTCAAGCTCCTGAGCCTCGTGCGCCGTTGGAAACATTGAACCAATCAAGACGAAGAAGCTTAGACAGGGATCATCCCAAAAGAGAAAGATGTGTCCGGGGTATCTCGGGTACCTAAGTACCTGAGTATAAAATACAAAATACATATGTAGGTACCAAATAGACCGTAGCCAATGCCATAAAATTATACCTGTATCTTATACTCTTTACACAGTCTATAGGCTATAGCTTAAAACATCATATAAGGAAATACAAGAAACGGGATTATAAGAAATTATAGAAGTGAGGGCCAAAACTGTGTGTGTTAAACAATATAGTTAACCATCAAAATGTACCCCTCAGGTGTAACTTCAATATTGTCTTTCTTCCAGGTATAATAGATTTATACACATGGCTACAGCTGAAGAGAACTGTGCAATATCAACCGTCATTACATGTCGTAATAATTGTGTTCCAAACCGTCCATATCTATCGTTCTATTCATGTACTAGTATTCATGTATGGTATCAACATCCACGATTTGTTAAGATGATGGAACACTCGGCGAACCTCCTGATCCTTCAGGTTTTCCTTCAGGTTTTATCTTACCTTGTGTGGCCTCGTTTTTTAATTCCGAGTCGAAAATATCAACAGCGAGACTCGCTTCGACGAAGTCCTCTAGCTCTTCCGTCACCGTCTTTAATTTCTCCTTCACGGCCTCGGCTCCCTCATACCCCACAATGTGACGCGCCGGCGGATTCTCATGTCCACCGATAGCGGTAAGGGCGTATACCGTTTCGCCCACGAGGCGGTCCATTGAGGAAGGGGGTAACTTCGGATATCTTTGAATAATTTCCGTCTCTGATGGCTCGACAGCTGTCTCCGAGTTTAGATTCAACACATTTGTGAGCATATCCCTAACGCTCGGTGCCGGGTTATTCTCACTGTCATAAACAGGCAATGACGGAGAGAAAACAATCTTGTTAGTTAAGGATTGTATCTCCTTATGTGGCTGTACTATGGTTACTTTAATATTAAAGGGTGCAACTTCGTAAGCTAGGGAATCGCAGAACCCCTCCAGTGCCCATGTCGCTGCCGTATATATAGGCATTCCAGGCGTGCCTATATGTCCGCCAAGACTGGTGAGGATCATAATGTGACCGGTATGTTGGGCGCGAAACGTCGGGAGCGAGGCTTTGATAAAATTTACTTGGGAGAAGAAAATGGTCTCGAACTGGTCGCGCACGAGGTTTTGCGTCGCCGGCGAGGTAGACAGCTCTTCCACGGTTCCAACAATAGCTATTTTCCAACAATTATCTTGTAAGAACTCCGCTTTGCCCCGCGCATGTATATAGGTACGTACGTGCAGATATGTTGCGTGTGGAAAAGGGATTGCATACCTTCAGATGTGCAACATAACAATATATCTATGCGGCCAAATACATGTTTGGCCTCCGCCACGGCCGCACTGCATTGGCCCATTACGCGGCCATCGCAGCGTATACTCCTAATGCGGTCTTTCCACCCCTCTCGATCTTTTCGATTGCTTTTACACTCATTGACAAGCTCGCGAAATTCGGCGCTACGGTCATCATGCTCGATTTCTTGAGGCGGTAAGCAGGCGACGACATAGTCGCCATGAGTAAGTAATTGGCGTATCAATCGAACGGCCAGAGGGGTCAAAGACGAAGTTATGAACCAAGTTCGCGGGGAATTATGCGTCGCTACAACACGATTCATTAGTCGGTTTTCCGGCAACGAAGCGGGCATTTGGCCAAGAGAACAGGGATTAGCATCTCAAAAGTACACGATGCAGGACAATAGTTGCGAACGAATTCGAAGAACAAAGTTGTTTCATCGATGGATTCGGTTCGGTTTTGCGCGCAAAGTTGCGCAATGGACGAAAGGAAAGAAAGAAACGGGAAAGAGAAAGAGAAACAGAAAGAGAAAGAGAGAGCTTAGGTAAGGTAGACAAGGTAGACAAGGTTAGGTATGTAAAGGCATGTAAAGGGCAAGAGGTAAATTTTAGTTCGACGCACGGAAAGAAGCTGCAGGAACAGAGTGTGAATGTCGTGCCGGACCTGACGACTCGGCGTTCTTCCTTTCTGACATTTCCACCTTTTTTAATATTCTTTTTCTTTTCCTTTCTTTTTTTATTCCTTGTTTATTTCGGTTGCTGTAAAGACAGAATCAACAGCACGATACGGCTGAGTATACTCCCGAATTCTACCAGCGATTCGGCATGCCGCAACCACGAATCGATCGTACTTGAAGAAAAATCGCAACTAGCGGTCGATTCCTCTTTAACAGTTGATGGAGCCCTTCTTCTGCCAGCATCACAGGGACGAGGAATTAGTTGCTTTGCGATTATGTCGGAAGGAGAGGTCGACAGATTCGATACTGAGCTATGAAGACAGATAGAATAGTACCCAAAGCAGTTATATTACGTCGTCGTATTACACCATGTACATATTCACAAATTCGGTGACTACCTCCCTACCTTTGTACTGATCAGTTTACCTCGCCTTTAACTCCCCTAATCGGGGTTTTTTGTGCCTCGCCCGGCAGTTGTTACATCCCGAAAAGGCCTGGAGGAAACCCCAGGGACATCATTGACCCCACCGCATAAGCTGCAGCCGTCTGGGGGATGTGGGTATGAGACCTATGAGAAGAAGCTTGGATCCAAGGTGAGGATGATTGAGGACGAATAGCCTGACATAGACAGGTTCCGTTTGTTGCCAAACTTGAGGGACAGGTGTTAAGGCACCACGTTATGCCCTGTAATGACTGAGTAATAATTAAACGACAGGCATGATGCAACGCCAATAGCCCTGTCGGGTGGTGTCCTTGGAGTGCCCTTTAGCACCCTTGGAAGTTGGGGTCTCCGGGATCTTCAGCACGGCCGAGGTTGTAGTGTCAGTTCAGTTTCGGCAGCCATCTCGGATATCACTGATGCAATGCAACGGCACCTCAATATAGTATCACGTCGCGTCTCTACCGTTTTTGTCATAGTACCCTCTTTTATTTAGTCGAATCTGGGGAAACCTAGGCCAACATCATCCTAGACGCCGGTAGGATTGCTCGCAGAGCGCTCCATTCCCACACAGGTGTGTAGTATCGAGTGTGCGATACCTCATAGTATGCAAATATGCCTTTTCCGGACGGCATGGCCTGATCGCTTATCTGCATCGAAGGAAGCTTATAATTTAAGATGCCGTAGCATCTACCCTAGAATATTAATATGGGTGTTAAAGCTGGTGATTATTGTCGATATTGTTTTAATGTTTAGTTCAACATGTTCTATATAGATTAGAAATTCTTAGTTAGACCCGCAGTTGTCATTCTATGTACTAGACTAACGGTTAGACTAGACTAACGGTTAGTATGATCAAGATGTTAGATGTTAGGGAAGTACCTAATAGCGGAATTTCTTTCCTGGCCTGTTCCGACCTCGGGGGAAGGAGATTGGTCGCTTCCATCGGCCGACTCGATCGCATTTCTTATCCAGTCAGACGGTCGGATGACTCAGCTTTGCATATTGTTTGAACTTGAACTGACTTTATTCACAATAACTACTTTCCTTTTATTATATTATAAGATTTGATAGTAAATATCATTTGCTACTTCTTCAATAAGTTCGTCATAATGCCCTCCAGGGCTGATATCACATACTTCGGCGCCGGGCCGGCCTTGCTACCCACTGCCGTCCTTGAAAACGCCACCCAAGCTCTCCTGAATTACAACGACACAGGACTAGGAATTGCTGAACACTCGCATCGTTCTCAATATGCTGCCGATATTATTAACCAGGCAAAAGCCGATCTGACCACTTATCTTGATATTCCCGAAGACTATGAAATCCTCTTCATGCAGGGTGGTGGTAGCGGCGAATTCTCGGCTACTGTCTATAACCTTGTTGGCGCCTGGGTAACTAGGAAAAAGGCTGAAATTTTGAAGCAGCTAGGTGCTCCGAGTGAGGAGGAAGCTAATCAAGAAGAGCTTGTATCAGCGCTCAAAAAGGCCATCGATACTGAGCTAAAGCTAGACTACTTAGTAACGGGCGGATGGTCGCTAAAAGCCTACCAAGAAGCTGGTCGTCTACTAGGCCCAGAGTACACCAATCTGGTTACAGATTCCCGAACAGTGAATCAGGGGAAGTTCGGTAAGATCCCAGATGAAAGCACGTGGAAGCTTTCCAAAAATGCTGCCATGGTATACTATTGCGACAACGAGACCGTGGATGGCGTTGAGTTCCCTAAGTTCCCCGATACTCTAAGACCCGACTCCAATGGCGAAGGCCCCATCGTCGTTGCGGATATGTCCTCAAACATTCTGTCGAGAAGAATTCCAGTCAAAAACTTTTCAGTCATCTTCTTCGGCGCGCAAAAGAACCTTGGCTCGACGGGAGTCACCGTGGTCATTATCAAGAAGAGCCTGCTTGCTCCGGCATGCCCACAGCCTTCAGCGGCGTTGATGAGAAAACTTGGCCTTCCAGTTCCCCCGATCATATTTTCTTACGAGACTATTGCCAAGAATAACAGTTTGTACAACACTCTCAGCATTTTTGAGTACGGGTACCCTTAATTATTAGTTGATTATAAATGGCTAATACTGCAGTACAGTGTCTACATTGCTGGCCAAGTACTCAAGAAGCTGCTCACAACGTTTCCGGATAAAGTTGACGGCCAACAAGCCGTTGCTGACCAGAAGGCGGAAATCATCTACAAGGCCCTCGAGGCACACCCGAATGTCTACAGGATCGTCCCGGACAAGTCGGTGCGCTCTAGGATGAACATTTGTTTCCGCGCGACTGTGGTTAGTAACTACCAGCTTTTAAAAATTCCTATTATATGGCGCCATTAAATCTCGCTAACTCCGAGTATAGAATAACGATACGGAAGGCGCTGAAGCAAAGTTCCTAAAGGATGCAGCCGCTCTTGGACTCACTGGTTTGAAGGGGCATCGAAGTGTGGGAGGCATACGCGCTAGCAACTACAATTCGATCCCGCTCGCCGGGGCCCAGAAGCTAGCAGAATTTATAAACAACTTCGCTCAAACTCAGGGTTAATAGTCCTGAGTATGATGACGGTGCCAATGAGTTCGGCCCTGGCAACCCGTAAACCCGGCACGGAGGACACTGAGGAAGCATAGCGAATAATACGACTCGCTCTAACATCAACATTTGTCTAGATTACTACGAGTTTGAGGTGTCGGTTGCTTTCGCACGGCATGGCATGGTAAATAGGGTGATTAAAAGCATTCAACATGGGGGCTGGTAAAGGAAAAGAAAACTTCAACTATAGAAATCCTAAATAGGTAGGCTAGACATACAATATGTACTTTCATCTAGGCGTCACCATTTAATCAGCCATATCCTTCGCCTAGTATTTTGAACATATCTCCCTCCCATGAACCAGGTCTACGCTTCCAGTTCGGCTTTCAACCACCCCGGGATCTGCGGCGGCTTCTCCCACCCGTCCAAGTACGACTGCTTCGCGACGCCTTCGCCAGAGGGCTTCGCGTAGATAGCCGAGATATACCAGACCGTCTCGCCCTTCTTAATAGTATGCTGCAGGGTCGGAATAACTGTCCTGCTCTCGACCAAATTGGAATTCGGATCGGCATTAACCAAATTCGCAGCCCGCTCAACGCCCGTCTCCAACGCTTTAATGCCAACCGCCCCCTTGGACACCGCAAACGCGCCCTCCTTGCCCGTGGACCAGCCGTCCGGCGTGTAGAGATCGTAGTTCCCGATTATCTTGGGGAACGTGCCCTCGCCCTTCTGCGCATCGTATAAGTCCAGGTACCGCCCGTCAGCCGCGCGCTGATTGCTGATCGCGAACGAGCCGTCGGCCGTCATGACCTCGCGGCCGGCTTCGATGCGGTGCACACGCAGATGCCAGTTCGGGGTGGTCGGGTCGGGAGGGATTAGGGTGGTGCGCACGGTGACGTCGGGGTACGGGGTCCAGATGGAGACTAGCACCGGGGTGTTGTTGTTGTTGTCGCCGCGGTGCTCGAGGCCCGCGTACGTGGATGTGCGCCGCGTCTTCCAGTACTCGCCGCCGTCGTCGGAGAACCCGAGCTGCGAGGCTAGTGCGTATTGCTCCAATGTGAAGAGGCCGGGCGGCACGGAGTATGCGTACGCGCTGCTGTAGGCGAAGGAGCCGTATTTGGCGTGGGTGCCTTTCATGGGGTAGCTGCAGGCTTGGCCGGAGGAGAGGAGCATGCAGTGTCCGCCGAGGTAGCTGGATGTGGATGGGTCGTTAGAAGGGGGCTGGTGGGAAGGATGGTGGTGGTGTTTTGATGGCTTACCTTGCGATGTGACCTGGTTGTGGAAGCTCCTTTATCTTGGGGATGGCGTCCCCGGGGAGCTGTTCTTCTGATGTCCAGAATGGGTGGTCGGCGGGCACGGCTAGGCAGATGAATGCTAGACAAGCCCAGTACTTTGAAGCCTATTAGCTTATATATATCGCGGGACTCCCGCATGGAGGACTTACCGGGCTGCCGGGGCTGTTGTAATTCTCTGCCATCTGTATATTGTGAGCGGACGTCGGTTGGATATGAAAAGGGGGAGGGAATTGTTACTTACGTACATATTTGGGTAGGAGTACCCAATAGTCAACGTTCCGCTCGGACTCCAGATATCGGGTTGCGTCTGCCACCATCGTAAGTGTCGTAGGACTACGCCTTTGACCATGCCCCATGTAAGTGGCCTGGGCAACTCGACTCCAGCATAGGCTAGAGCACCCCAGAAGGACACCATCGCAAACCGATAGCCCACGCTGCGCCCAAAGGGGACGGATCGACCTGAACGAAAACGTTAGGCATTATAGGGGCTGAGAATGCTTAAGAAGTGCCCTCACCTTCGTCGTCATAGTAGTGGATCAAGTCCAGGGCGACCTGCTGAGCACGCCTCTTGAATTCCTCGGCCCTTTCTGGCTCGTCTTCCCCAGCTAGTTTTGCGTAGAGGAGCTGCAGAAACTGGATGGCGAAGCTGGAAGAGTAGTAGTCCATTTCTATGGAAAGCACTGTGAGTCTCGGCCGTAATTATAGGGAGAGCATTGGGGCTTACGATGGATACCCTCCGGCCCGTCATTAGACCAGCCACCACCGCGGTAGAAGGTGTTTAAATGTTCGATGTCGCGGTCTAGTCTTTCTTGAGAGAACTTGCCTCCGTTCTTTTTCAATCCGAGGTTCGCAAAAACGCGGAACCAGAGCCAATTGGTATTGGGCATACTGGAATGCCATTAGTTACGTTTATTTGACGGTGTGTCCAGTTATATAGGTATACTTACTTCTTCTCGTTTATCGAGTTTCCCAGCCAGTTCTCAACGTTTTGCCGTTCTTTCTCGTTAAACGATTGCCAAATAACCGGAGCGACAGCCAAAGCATAACCTAACTATATATCAGTTAATACCTCAAAATTCAAGGTGGGAATCATACCAAGAGGGCACATTTCCACCATCCTTTGGTCGTTGTCGCGAGGGTATCCCCAATATTCGGGGTTCTCAGGGTCGGTACCGGACTTGATCCCCTGAATCCACCATTCCGCCCCATGATACTCACCACCTCCGGCTAGCAGACATGCTAGACCCCAGAGTGGCCTACATATACCTTCTACTTCAGAAGCAGTCTGGTCAAACCTGACGGCAGTGGCGCCAGGACATTTTACCCTGGCTTTCAACGGCGAGAAGAACGGCTCGAGGGGATCCAGCAGGGTCCTCAGGAGCTCCTGGACGGAAGCACGATCGGATATTTTCACCTTGGAAAAGGGGTGAATGCCATTGTAGCCGAGGACGAGGCCGGTCTTGGGCTCCATCGTAACTCGAAAACGACTAATAGCGTAACTACCTACCTACCAGTCTCGAGAAGATAACGACAAAACTTACAAAGGGGGGAACTAAAGAGAAAGAAGACTTAACCTAACTACCATTATTCCAGCATACTTGTGTCAACTACCCAGCTACGTAACCTACCTCCTACGTGGGGTTTAGCATCGACAGTCGACATACATACAATATCGCGGGTATGAGGGGTCCCTTGGGGGGGTTTGTGGGGTGATAGTAGATCTCTCGCGGCTAATATCACGGATCGAACTCGTCTCTTAAATCTCCACCAATCGACGCAGCGCTGGAGCTAGCCGATTGTGTAGGCTCTATATATACGGGTGGTAGGATGGCAGCGTGGGCCGAGGATTCTACCGGTTCGGACCGGATTGAAACGATGGGCTCTCTGCGGTTGAACCTCGCTTGCTCTCGAGGTTCACGTAAGTGTGATTAACTACCTGTTAGATGAGACTTACCGGCGATATTTCAATAATGTGATGTTTATGTGATACTATCGTGTGTACGTACGTAATTAGACGGTTTACTGATACTTTCTTAAAGCAACCTGTATTCTTAAATAGTCTCATGAGCTTCGCTTAAGCTACCAGAAACGGAGTAGAGATAGCTTATCTGCAGCGGACTACGATCAAGTGGCTAGAAGAGGTATCCCGTTCCATCGAAAGCTTAGTTTACCTAATATTTAGAGGGCTGAAGAGGCGTTGAAATGCGGAGTTCGTTGGGGGAACATGCGGGATGCGGGGATGAAAGGGGCCCTGGAATGTGAGTCTCTGTTGAGGGTATTGGTTACTCTTATATTGAAGATTTCGTACCACGATAGAAAGTGTAATTATATCTTATTTTATTTTATTTTTATCTCGTATAGGACACCTCTTAGAAGAAGTGAATGCCGAGTTTAGGAAAGAAAAAAAAGAAAGTTCTTTATATGTAAGTCCAACCAGGTATATCGTATACATAAGCTGTAAGTGTCGGGTTGCCCCATCAAGACCTAATACCTCGACCCAGACACTGTGCTGGGGGTATGTCAAAGCGGAATTAGAAGGATCGGACTCACCGGACTTTCTCCTCGGACGCGAGCTTGTTGGCTCTCAATTCAATCCCAAGCTGACCAACTTCTTGATTGTCGTGAGAAGGTTAAACCACTCTAAAAATGGCGTCTGTTCCAAGAAAGCTCTGGGAGCATCCCAACCCCGAAAAGACACAGATGCATGAGTTGATGCAGAGGTTGAACAAGAAGCATGCCATTGGCCTTAAAGTGAGGTCGATTCATAACAAATACAAGCCATACGCCTATCCGCTGACACTTCTTAGACATTCCAAGATTTATACCAGTTTTCTGTTACTAAGCGTTCCGACTTCTACACAGAGGTCTTTGAGTATACTAATTTAATTTACACGGGTTCTTACACGAGAGCAGTGGATGAGAGCAAGCCAATTGACACCATCCCGCGCTGGTTCGAGGGAGTTCATCTCAATTGGGCCGAAAATCTTCTCTGGTCTCGCGGGCCTCGGGATCCTACCGATTACCATGGCAAGGTAGGAAAGGAAGATACTAAGATCGCCTTGACCGAAGTTCGAGAGGGCGCGAGCGAGATCAGACACGTCACATGGGTAACGCTCCGAAAACTCGTAGCCCTCTATGCCTCCGCCTTACACGCCGGCGGTGTTGGGCGAGGGGATCGAATTGTTGTCGTTGGGTCTAATAGCGTCGAGACGCTGGTACTATTTGCTGCCACATCATGGCTAGGTGCTATCTTTAGTAGCAGCTCAACCGATATGGGCGTTCAGGGCATCTTGCAGAGAACGGTTCAAGTCAACCCCAAGGTAAGAGATATTCCCTTCTTTTAATAATTAGCTTGCTCATGAAGACTAGTATATCTTCATGGACGATGCAGCTCTTTACAACGGGAAGCGAGTAGATTTGCGCCAAAAAATGACGGAGGTCGTTGCGGGAATGAAAGGTTGTGACCAGCTTTCAGGGCTGGTCTCAATCCGTCGTTTCCACGATGCCTTAGATATAAGCAACATCCCCAAGGTCCAAACGTTGCATTCGTTCCTTGCAAAGGGAGACCCGTTTTCTCCCCCGCCGATTGTTAGGATTGCTTTTCACGAGCCTTTCTTAATTTGCTACTCTTCGGGCACCACTGGCATACCAAAAGCCATCGTCCACTCTGTTGGGGGTGCTCTTCTGAATTATGTCAAAGAAACTCGTCTTCACGAGGATACCAACTCAAATACTGTCACTCTGCAATACACAACTACAGGCTGGATTATGTACCTCGTGTGCGTTGGCCAGCTTTTGGTCGGCGCACGCGTCGTCTTATACGATGGGTCCCCTTTCCAGCCCGATCTCCAGACTTTTATCAAGTTGATTGGTGACCAGAAAGTAACCAAGTTGGGCACCAGTCCACGGTGGTTCTACGAGGTTGCTAGGGCAGGAATCTCACCCAGGCAAATTACCGACTTGTCAAATCTTCAAATAGTAACAAGCACTGGCATGGTACTTCCAGAGCAATTGTTCGAGTGGTTCTATGACAAAGGTTTTCCAAGTCATGTCCACTTGAACAATATATCTGGCGGAACTGATATCGTAAGATTAACACCCATCGGACGTAGTTATCTGCTAACTTCATCTTAGGCTGGCTGCTTTGGAATTGGCAATCCACTTACTCCTATCTACGTAGGTGGGACACAAGGTGTTTCTCTTGGGATCAAAGTAGCTCTATACGATTCGTTACTTCCTCCCGGACCCGGAAAAGAAGTACCGGACGGGACACCTGGCGAGCTTGTGGCCACCGCCTCGTTCCCAAATGTCCCGATATATCTGTGGGGTGACAAGACGTCGACTGGTGTGCCTGGGCCGAAGTTCCACTCGGCCTATTTTGCAAGATTTGAGCACGTGTGGGCACACGGTGATTTTTGTGTTTTCCACCCTGTTACCAAGAACCTCATATTTCTCGGAAGAGCCGACGGTGTTCTGAACCCTAGCGGAGTACGGTTTGGCTCTGCGGAAATCTACTCAGTCCTTGAGAGGAATTTTGCGGATAGGGTGGCCGACTCGATATGTGTCGGACAGAGGCGACTTCAGGATAACGACGAGAGCGTAATGCTATTCTTGCTGATGCGACCGGGCCACAAGTTCGACAGACAGCTCGTAAACGAAGTTAAAGAGACCATCAAGAGGGAATTGACTAAGAGGCATGTACCTAAATACGTGTTCGAGACCCCTGAAATACCTGTAAGTGGGAAATTTGCCTCGAATAAGCGCTCCTATACTAATTTAGAAACAGACGACGGTTAACCTGAAGAAAGTCGAGTTGCCGGTGAAACAAATTGTCTCGGGTCAAACCATCAAACCAAGCGGCACGTTGCTCAACCCGAAGAGCTTGGATTATTATTACCAATTTGCTAAGGTTGAGGACCTTGTTGCACCTAAGGAGAAGCTTTAAGGTAAAGGGAACGGATATTTGCATATGGTTGCAATACAAGCGTGGTATTGCGGTCATATTTTTGGTTTAGTTGGTGAAGGTAGATAGATTAAAGGCAGTTTTGATTTCGAAGCAAACAGGTATATACTGTTCCGCTGCCCGATGAAGTTGGTTTAGTACAAAGACGTTGGTATCCGCGTGCCGCGTGGTCCAACCGGGACTATATATTTTCGTTCTTATGATGGTTCGGCATAAAAAGAATAAAAGAATGAATAGATGCACTGTAACGATAGGTCCTATGACTGTTGTTATAACTGCAAAATTTTCCGATGAGCTCAGTGAATCTCAAATTTGTAATGAGAGCGGACTCGTCGGCCGATTCGGATACTAGGATTTGTATTCCGAATACCTGCCTGCATGTGTCTGTAAGGGTACCATAATAAGGCTCCGCTTGAAATTAATAAGTTAACTCATGAGACAAGGAAGAAAAGAAAAGATGGGAGAAGAAAGATGTTACTCGAGCGTGTCATTAAGCTTTAACCGCAAAGCTAAAGCACGATTCTGTTAGTTACCTATTAAGTTTCCTTATAAGCTAGATATGTTGGGACCATATGTATCATGTCTATAAACAGTCAGATTCAAATAGAAGAAGTACGTACCGCCGTAAGGTGTGAGTCGGCCGTTTCTGCTTTCAAGTTCCTGCAACTAACTGCCCACCTATGCATCTTTCTAGCCCAATTAAACGCCTTTTACGCCCAAATATAAGCTCCGTCCAATTATAAAGTACGTGATACTGTTACCGAACTTATAATAATAAACAAATAAGTAAATAAATAGGTAAGTATGGGGTAGCGTATGGAGATAGTGTATAGGTAGATAGTTAAAGGTATGGAGGTAGGTTTAGGTAGTTGGACCAAAAACGTGTAGCCATAGCCGTTGGCACCCAGAATTGTACATATGTGGGGGGAGCATTTGAGCGGGCTGGCGGGATACTTTAGTTACCTATCGTTATCTTTTGAGTTACCCCTCGCGGTTTGACATGAGACGATCTAATTACCTTGGATATAGTAATTGTTGTTCCATTGTTGTTCTACAGAAACCGACTGGATTCTTTCCTATGGCACCCCCAGTTTATTAAAATAGTTCCCTTTCCAAGAAATCAAGGGTCTTCCTGTTCCCCTTGATTCTTTTTCTATTTATTACCTACATACGTTATACATACATACATACATACATGTAGGTACATACATATGTAGGCACGTTATGAAGAAGGAATGGTGGCTAGCGTTGTACTACGGATAGTAGGAACTCCAAACAATAGGTGCCACTCTAGCGAATATGAAAACCAATCAGAATTTATTGATGCAATGCGGATGCAGCGTTCTTACCGTACATAGCTGCATGCGCAATATCTTGTCAGCTAGGTACAACACAATACATGTACATGCTGCAATGGGGATCCACCTGTTAAGTTTACGTGTATGTACTTCGTACCCTGGGTGACAACCTTAGGTGATTTTTATTTTAGGTATTAGGTGCCTTTAGCTGCCCTTTAACCTGCCTGCTTAATGGGCTTTTGAATTGTAACAGCACGGGTGTTTCTGTAAGTAGGCCGACACACATGCATCCACCTGTGTTACGCCCATCCGCCTTCCATTCCACATTCGTTCATCTACCCTATGGATTGCCACATATTGTATCTTACTAAAGTAAAAGTACCTAACCTACCTACCTACATCCTACATGTACTTTACCAAGGTTCCATTACATATCTAACAACC